AAAATAAATTTATCATAAAATTTAAAATTTTGCGTTTTATTTAAAAATCCGAGTACTTTTTGAGCAGAGAATAACATTACATAGAATAACATTTTTTCATATGAGGCTGTTTTCGGAAAAATCGATTTTTAATATTCACTTAGTGATTTAATTGATAAACTAAATCATCAGAAGAAATTATATAGCTTTATATGAAGCATTCATATAAAAACTACTTGAAAAAAAACAGAATTATGTGTTCAGAATGGGCAACATTTTTAAAATAATATTCATCGCGTAAGTATCATATTTTATTGTGTATTTCTGATTACCCAGTATGATAATAAACACAAATGTGAAAATTGTCGTAAAAGTTTACAACAAGATTCATTAAGTCAAGAAATAGTTAAGAGTGCACATGTGCCTTGTAAATATTGAAAATCAATTTTTTCAAAGACAAAACCTCATATAAAACAATTTATTTTATTTTGACTTATTTTTTTCTATAGAATCATAGCTCTTACAGGGACGTTATCCAACTATCCGATTTGATTTTCTGTAAAATATACTGTTAAACACAAAAATCTAAGAGATACGTATTTTTTTTATATGCGCGTTAACTCATGTTTAAGGGGTGAAACACCCCTTCGAGAAAAAACGGCATTTCTATTTCGAGCCAAATATAAAAGATATTTTTTTCGTTGAAAATATAAAAGATGGAAAAAAATTTTTTAAACAAAAATTGTACGGTTTCAAGAGTCCATGTTGTAAAAAAAAAAAATTTTTTTAAATTTTTTTTGTTTAACAAAATGCCCCTACTACTCACAATTTTCTCAAATTTTTTAAATTTTATTTTACCAAATTAAAGATAATTTTTTTCTAAATTGAATCATGTATAATAAAGTTACATTACAACATATCATGTGTTGAGAATTAATTATAAACTCTTCCGTATATACGCTATTCGTGCTCATGTGCGCAAGTAATTGTATAATTATCGTCGAAATAATAAAATATATGAAAAGATGTTTTAAATAAAATTTGTATAGTATATTGTTGTAATTTTCTATATGCTTTATGACTATATATATGTATTCAGATTTTTCAAAAATGTAATAATTTTTAAAATATATACATACCTAATTACTTCTTTTAATCTAATTAATTTCTTCCATAAAGAAAAATTAAAAACATTTTTATTCCAAATTCATTTCCTTATAATAAAATTATTAAAAAATTAAATCTCTTTCTTTTTTTAAAAAATGAATTAAAAAACCACTGTCAATATTTAAAAATATTATACATTTTTTAAAATTTATTAATTTGTCTAAAAATATTATTGAGCAAATTAATAAATTTTATCAATGTTTTATATTTATCTTATAATTAAAAGTGCATTGAATTGGAAAATATCAGGTGTGAAAAATTTTTATTATTATTCTTTTACTTAATAATTATTGTGTTTTACTTAATTAATTGTGCTTTAATTGCCAAATGAGTCTCAATTTTACGTGGAAACTACATTAGGTTCCAATGCTCGTCTATTTGGCAGTGTATAGTACAAATATGTCTGCTTAAATATAATCGCATTTGGTATCTGCACAAAACGATATAAATTTATCTCTAGAATGGACATATCTGGATTTCTAGTACGGTGGTAATGCCAAAAACTAATTAAAAAAGCAAAAAAAAACACAATACTTATCAATATCATTTTCTTAATAATCTTTGTAAGTAACATACATACGCGCGTTTTTTACGCAAACCATTTTATAACAATTTAATATTATATAAGCAATCTACAGCAAAAAGAAAAGACTGCTCTACCATACATCGATTGAGTTATTAGTGTTTTGACAATCAACTCCGTATGATAATTAGTTTCGGTCTGTCCTACCATCATATTCCACTCGGCACGCAACATTTAACATATATTTTTTAATATTTATATTTTACATTAAATATTTAAAAAAATGTTTTAACAACATTATCTGCTGTTTGGGTATTATATGGGTACGTTTAATAAGTGTCATTACATATGTAAATGTCATAACCATGGGCGTATCCAAAGGGGGAGGGAGGTCAAACCTCCTTCGAAATTTTTTATTAATTATTTCATTTTGAGAGGATCTCGTTAGCGCACATCCTGATAGCACACACATCCACTCACATCAGTCGGGGGGGGGGGGGGGGGGGGGGAGGGGGGAAATGCCTAATAATTTTTCACTACTTTACTAATAAGAATATTTTATTTTAAATTGGCCAATTAGCGATATACTCTATCAAAATTTCTCTTTCATTTTTCATTGTAACAAACATACAATTTTACTTTTGACTTAGTGTGAATTTTTGCTGCTACATTTTTTTTCGTTATAAGATATAAGTATAATAAAGTAATTTTTAATACTTCTGTTCGAGTACATAATAACAATATTATAGAATTAACCATATTACTTGTAGTAACTGTATTGTCTTTCTTTAAAAAAATATTTCTTTAAAAAATAAGTAAAAGTTATATGTATACGAAACGTAACATTTTTCCTCTTCAAAATAAAGTACGAGGAGATATTAAAAGTTGTAAAAATATCCAAATGGAATTTATTAATGTTAAAAATTGTTATAAATTACAACAACAAAATTGGCAGTGACGGTCTTTTCAATACAATAGCAAAATCCTTTTTTTTTTTATTATCATTCCGATTAGTGCACGGTACACCCCTACAGAGAATCCCTCCCAAAAAAAATTCCAAGATATGCCCATGATTATATCAATGTAAAAGACTTTTAATGAGGCTACAATTATAATATACACTTGTGAATAATGAGATTTTTTGAAAGCATTTCGAGTATATATTACAGAAAAATAAATATCAGATAATTATAATCGCATTTGTGACGTGCGTATGTTAATAAGTTCAGTTTTATACTTTTTATTTTTTTTTTGGACACAATCCAGAAGATTACATATCACGAACATAATTATTAATTAACGCATGTATTTTCCAAAATTCAATGCAATACTCCATTTTTTATTCAAAAATCTAATCGCTGATGCCAAGATCATTTCAAAACATATTTTTAATAAAATTTGTATTTCATATCATATAAACACATATATGTCGGACACTTTGAGCTAACGGTATTGTAATTTTGTGAAAGTTTTTGATTTGACATCAATTATTTTAGTTTCTGGAATCAAAAATAGAGTATTATATTAAAAAAAAAATCGACATGATTTTAATCTGACTGACCTTGACGACGTCACACAAGATCAAACAGATATGGTCAATAAATATAAATCATTTTAAATTAATCCTTAAATCATTGTTTGAATCATTTTTCCTAAAAATGCCTAAATTCCTAAATTTTCCAAAAAAACCACGTCGTTTTCAGTCGAAAAAGAAAGCGATGCTCACGGTTTTCATGGATTACAACGGTATTGTACATCACGAATTTTTGTCAGAAGGTCAGACAATTAATAAGGAGTATTATTTGGGCGTTATGAGACGTTTGCGTGAAGCAATTCGCTAAAAAAGAAAGGATTTGTGGGTAAACAACTCGTGGATTTTGCACCATGATAACGCACCGTCGCACAGTGCCATCATTATTCGTGAATTTTTGGTCAAGAACAAAACGAATACCATCCAACAGCCATCGAATTCACCCGATATGGCTCCCTGCGATTTTTTTCTGTTCGATCGAGTCAAAAAACCACTGCGGGGAACGCGTTTTAACAGCCGAAAGGAGGTAATGGAAAAATCGAAGACGGCTCTGATGGCTATACCAATAATAGAGTTCCAGAAATGTTTCGAGAGCTGGATCAAGCGCCTGGCATAAGTGCGTTGCAGTCGCTGGAGAGTACTTTGAAGGGGACAATATCACTTTTGATGAATAAACTTGTATTTTGAATTTTCTGAATGAATTCCGGAAACTTTTTGATCAAGCTAGTATATAATTATTTCACTAACATAAATATATGGACTGCTGATTTCCAAGGATTGAATAATTAAACGTTCATTATTTTGCAAGAACAGTTGCTACACGTGTGTATTTAGTAATAATTTTACATCAATTAATCAATGATTGCATTCGGGAAAGTGTACCAGCAAACGAGAATAGATTGAAATGAATTGAAATGGATTCAGATTTTAGTAAATATTGATTCACGAATATTAAAATAAATGCTTTTCAATCCTAAATGTATTCATTTGTAGGAATTGCATAGAGCATATCTCTATGTTTTTCAATTTAAAAATAATATTAGCTTTTACTGCGCACAAAACACATATTGTGAATCTGTTCAATTCAAAATTTTGAATAGTAAATGCAATTGCATCTAATTGAATCTAATTGAATCCAATTGAATCCAATTGAATCCAATTAAATCCAAAAAAATATTCGCTATTTAAAATACGCATTTGGATAAAAAAAATTTCAATCCATTTTAATCCATTTCTTTGCTGCACACAGTACGTGTATGTGACGCTTTGGGGAACTTCCATCGAGTGAAATTTTTGGAAACAGATAACTAAAATATCATCAATTTACGTATGAATAGTGTTAGGGAGAGGATCTTTGTGTCCCCGTTGCGCAATGTGGAGCGCTATTTTCTCCTTATCTGAGATCTGTGTCTCCTGCCTTGTGGCTTGTCCGTGTCGATATTGACAGAGTGTGATAAAAATGAAATACGCCCTGCCTTGATATAAGATTTTTATTATATTTGAATTACACGACACGTTGTGACACGTTGCACTATTACGCAATCGTAACGTTGCAAAGCCAATGGGCTGGTATCAGCCTGCTGAGCTATACTAACACTGACAAGCGCCAACAAATAGATTACTAATTAATTAACAAAAGAAGGATTACGGCCACATATATTTTTTGAAGGCACTCTCTCGATTGTAAACATTATTTTTTTTTTTTAATATACTGTGTACCTACTTGAATAGTGGGAGAGACAGATTGAAGAGTATTTATACCGCAACAGATTGATATAGATTATTAATTTTAAGATTCAATGTTTCAACTTTCAAAGGCGAATTCGTATCCAGACAATCTCGTATTTACAACATTATTACCTATAAACTACCACCATGATTAAAATGGGACATCCTTTGTTTGCCCTGCTAATTCTGTCGATGGTGATTGTAAGCTTTGGAGACAAAGTGAAAAATATATATACATGGAAATTTCCTGAATTTGAATGGCTCTCCAAGGAACAGGAGGAAGATGCGATACGTTCTGGTATCTATAACCCTTCCAACTGCGTGTTTCATGATGCAAATGAAGCAGAAGGTAAGTTGATAATACTTTTTAAAAAAAGGCGTAATGATTTTGCAAGGAAGTAACTCATTACTTGTAAATAAGTTACAATCATAATTACTTTTTTAGTAACTATAATTTAATTTCATTCCTTCTTTCTATTCCTTTCATTTATAAATGCAATTTAATTTATAATTAGTTACATTTCTTTTAGTAACTTGTAATTAATTTAACAGTTACTTGGCTTATACATTAAAATCCAATGAAAAATTAAAAACAAGAACTAATCATATTAAAGAATTATTGTGCCTTCACTATATAAGAGTGCGTTCCAAAATGTAACTATAGAGTTTCAATTATAGTATAGTTATGTTTTGGGAAGCAACCCAGAGCTACCATTTTTTAAACTTAATTAAAATATGTGTTTGTTATTTAATATTATGTAGTTTAATATTACTATTATTATACAGGGCTGGGTAAAATGCCTTTCGAATACCATTAAAAATATTAATTGTAAAATACTTTAAAAAGTGTATTTAAAATGCAAAATGCAAAATAGATTTTTCAAATTCATTTTAAAATGGATAAATAGGTATTTTAAATGGTTTTCGAATGCAAAATGATTGTCCTGCCATAGCAAAGAAAAATTTTTACGAAAAAGTACAGAAAAACTATATAGATTGAAACAAGATCCTAAAAATTTTTTTTTGTAGATATTCGTAATGAGACATAGAGTGAGGTTTGTTTGCCTCAGAAATTCAATTTTTTGTAGATATTTGTAGTAAGATGTAAAGTGTTGTTTATGGCGGAAAATTTCTTGGTTTTTCGAACAGATAACTACTTTACGTCCCATTACGAATATCTACGAAAAATTAAGAATTTCTTAGGCTGGTATTCACGGTCCGTTTTTGTCTTAAATAATGTCTCAAGATGTTAATATGGCCTTGTGATTGATTTGTAGCATCTTAGGACTGTACCTTAAGATAGCCTTGAATATAAAAATCAACTATGAACACTTCCCTAAGACCTTGTTTTAATATATGTAGTTTTTCGTAAAAATTTTCCACCAGGTATACATTTTTTAAAAGTATTTTACGTTGAAATCCATTTTCAACAGAATTCGAAGCTCTGACTACAGTATTTATAAAATTTCTGACGGGAATATTTAAAATTTTTTAATTATGATTTTAAAACGAAACTCTTTATTTAATTAAATCAAATTAATATGAGAAAGCCGATTATGCTCAAAATTAGATGTTAAGAATAATATACATTTTTAGAAGTGTATATATAGTATTTTACATAAAGCTGGAACACTTATTTTTTATTAAGATTCGATATTTATAGACTATCTAGAATTAATTCTTTCTTTACAGTTTAATTTGCAATTTATTTGAATATTCATAAAAATCTTTAGCCAATCATGGAATTTGATCTTCTTATGCATCAACGATTCTAAGAAAATTTGTGAAAACATTAAAAAACTATTTATTTATTTTATAAATGGTTATATAATAGACATGATTCTATTTCAAATGTAAAATAAAAATGATTTTTCAAAAACCATTTAAAATAAATGCAAAATGCCATTTTCATTTTAAAATAAAATACATATTTAAAATAAAATTCTTTTAAATGTTACCCAGTCCTGGGTATATTTTATACAAAATATTTATGATAATTTTCTCAGAAAAAAAATTTAAAAAGGATTAGAAAACAACATTATAAAAAGTTCTTTGTTTAAGAAATATTGCTAGTAAGTATTATATTATTAAGAATGCGTTAATAAACTAAAAAAAAGAGGAGAATTAAATGATAAATAAAACAAAAAAGAATAAAAAATAGTATTTTATAAGTAAGAATTAAAAATTAGATACAAAATTTCGGGATAGGGTTTCAATCTTTCAAATCTTTCTCTAGACACGTCAATGATCAATATTAAGTGTAATGATCAATATTAAATCTTAGAACTTTAAGTTAATTCTGAGCTCTATTGACTACATTCAATTCTTATTTTTCTTATAATTTTGAAATAAATACATCAATTACAGTAGCAAAAGTTGCAAAAATAAATTCTTATAGATGGAAGAATATTCATTACTGTTCCCAACATGAAAGCACGTGCTTCACCTGCTTCTTTGATGACAGTAACTAATAAGACAGGACTAGGAGGTCCAATTTTACGGCCATATCCAGATTGGAATTGGCATAATAGCAGCTGTGATGGTATCATAAATGTTTATCGAATAGACGTAAGTATATCAATATCTTTCATTCAAGAAAAAATATAATTTCTTACATTTATTAAAGAGCAACAGTTTATTTAATATTACACAACTACACGCACAATAGAATAAGTTTAACAATATATGAAATAGAGTTTTTACTTTTATCTCAGATTCGATGCAATCACCTCTTCGTTATGGATAACGGCAAAATCGGAACCGATCAAATCTGTAATCCAAAACTATTGATTTTCAATTTAAAAGGTGATAGGTTGGTTAAAAATATTCACATCCCAATTGCTGATAAAATGGGATTATTGGTAACACCTTTGGTTTATATTCCAAATGAAACATGCATGCAGTTTCTGGATAAAATGATAGTTAGTTTTCTCTTTTAATTATAGTGTAATACATATTCATCTGTGTAAATATTATTTAATAACATTTTTAATTATATATCTTTTTTGCGATTTAATATATTTATAAATTTAATATATCTATAAATATACGCAGGTATTTATGACTGATGCGGGAGATTCCAGTTTAGTGGTGTATAATTCATTTACAAACAGTATGTGCAGAGTCGAATCTGATTACATGAAACCGACTGATAGTTCCTTCTCTATAGCAGGTGAAAATTTTACGTATGTGGGCGGTATCTACAGTATAACAGTTCTTAACGATGGTAAGTGCTTGTGCATTTTAAATAATAGATATTACTTATAAGTTGTAATACTTAATCTTATTCTACATAGCAAGTCTAAAAACATTTAACTGTAATTTTACACATACCATTTGCATTCATAACTTCTTTTTTATATGACATTAATATTTATTCATTTATTAATACATATATGCTTTGCGCGCTAGTAACAACTCATAAAACATAAAAAAATTTTATTTAAAATCTATACATGTTTGAGGATTTCTTCCGTGATTATACTTATTCATGCAACGTTTACGTTACATTTATGAAACGTTGGTATTCCAAGGATGGACATAGACACGGAAATAACTTGCGAAACACATCGTTTCTGCGCAAAAGTTATCCCCGTGAAAACCTCAAAAGCATAGAAAAAGTTGTTTACAAATAATCAATGTATTTTTGTTAATTTCCAAATAATAATCCTTTTTACTGTATTTTAAATATTTTAGATCTCTATTTTAATCCTATATCAGGAAAGGAAATATACAAAATAAAGATAAAGAACTTACTAGAATGTCCAAACAAAGAAAAGGCTAATAAACAAATTCAACGTATTAAAAAATTATCAAGCCAGACAGTAGTTCTCATATCAGCAGGACAATCAATATTTTATAGCGATTCTCGGGCAATGTCTATTCTACGCATGAAAAAATCCGATAAGATATATGAAACGGTAAGATATCCGTATGTAATTATACTTTACGTATCAATTTTTAAAAATGTCGAATATTATTAACGATTATATTTAATAATCATTAATATGATTTTATAAACTAAAATAAATTATTATTTATTTCAAGGAGATATTAGCACAAGACAGCGAAAAATTTCAAGGTGTAAGTTCGATGAAAATTTCAAAAAATGGATGTCGACTGAAGTGCATATCTGATAGATTTCAACTTTATGCTTTAAACAAATTGAACATAAATGAAACAAATTTTCGTTATTTCGAAATACATTTGTGCTAAAAGAAATACAGAATTAGAAGATAAATTACAACTCTACACTAAAAGAAAAGATTAGTTACTGCAGCAAATTAGATGATTAAATATAGCACAACATTTTTAATTGGCTGCAGCAACCAATTTTTAGTTGCGTTAGCCAATCGAAATCCTATACTGACATTGCGGATAGGCTAACAACAATTGGTTGCAGCAACCAAAAATTGGCTGTTGCAATTAAAAATACTATGCCATATTTTATAATCTAATTTGCTACAGCAGTCAATGTTTTCTTTCAATGTAAGTTCTAATTTTTATATTTTAAAAAATATATATGTATATATATAATTTCAAATACGTAAGACGTAATTTTATATGTACATTATATATATATATATATATATATATATATATGTGTGTTAAATATATGTTCAAAATTATGTGCATTACATAAATCTACATATATTGCAAAAGATGAATTTGCAAACCTTCTAAAATTAATTTTGAAAAACAAAAATTTAAAGATTTTTTAATTATACTCACATAAAAATAAGTCGTTAGAGCGACAATAATAATTAACATTGAAGTAAAATAATAAACCATCTTGATAGAGTTCTGCAAATATAATTTTAGACTAATATTTACTAAACATAATCTCAACAAAAAAATTCGATAAATAGCATCTGTAGTTGTAATATGTATGAATTTGATGTAAAGGTATACTTTCAGAATTATGTCAAAATATTATGTCATTATATAATAAATAAAGATACATCATTTAATTAAGATATTTTCTGAGATTATTTTGATTAATTCTTTATTATTTATGAATGACAAATATATCATATATAAAATAAATAAATGTTTATTCTTTAAAATAACGAAGAAAAGTTTTAGATAGTGATAATTTTAATCTCAGATATTTCTGTACTTGTTCAATTAATTTTCCGTGAGTCTTATCTTTTTTCCTTATGTATATATGATAACGACGTATTTATACTTATTGCAAGAAAACTCAAAATTTAATTTGTTTAAAGAAACTTATTTAAAAATTCAGAGATAAACTTTGTTAAGCGTATTTATTGGTTCTGTTATTTCATCATGCTTTCTTTAAATTTTGGAGTGTAATACTTGTATTCAAAATACAAGTGTTATTTTATACACATATAAATTGCCAGAATGAATTGCAAATACTCTTCAAATAAACAAATGTGTTACTCTATTTTTTAAATTTATAATTCTTAAATCAATTATACAAATAGTAAATATTAATCAATAAATAAAAAAGTGGCAATCTAAATTAAAATTTTCAAACAAACTGTCGGATTGCAAGACTGCCGAAACTTCTTGGAACATTGCGTGAGATTACTATGTAATTATTTAAATGCATTAACAAATTTTCAAAATTATTTTAAAAATATCTAAAATTATTTTCAGACCTGTGTTTAGCTAAATTTTTAGATATTTCGGCGAAATGGTTTGTTTCATGTTTTAGATTCCTGATGGCTTTATTGATAAGCTACACACACATGTACGACTTGTATATGTACCATGCAAGTGTAATATGTGTCATAAGTCATATATAAATATTGTAATAACGTAACGTTAAGTCGGAAGACTTTTAATGACTGTAATTATGATTAGAGGTTGCAACCATGTTTTGAAAACATTTTAATACATATTCGTTGAAAAAAAGTATAACTGCCACACAATTGTTATTGTACTCGCATTTGCAACGTACGCGTCTACAGGTCTGTTATATTATTTTATCATTCTAATCCAAAAATTACAATAAACTTAACTATTTAGAAATGCACAGATAACAATTTCTGAATGAAAATGCGCGGATCTAAATTTCCTGATTAAATTTATTAAATTTTAATTGAGATAAACAGATATATTTACTTATGATGACCAGAATTTTGATTAACATGATTATATAGAATCTTACTGATTCGTCCATTTTCAACCAGAAATTTTTCTCAGTACACGCATCTTTAAAAATTTCCCTTGTAACGCAATTTATTACAATTTACAAACGAATGCAATTTATTGCAAAACTAAATTTTTTTCATATAGAGTTACGAACAAAATTTATAGTAATTATAAAATAAAGGAACTGTATTTATCAGGATCGTTTTTTTCCGAAAACCTGTTAAGTCCGGATTTACAATAAGTGTTTTAAGCCTTAAGCTATAAGAAATTGATCAACTACAGTCGAATGCAAGGAGAATAATTGATTGTGATTCGTCCATTTCATTTATGGCTTAAGGCTTAAAAAATCTAGTAGATGTAGGCTAAGTAAGTGAATTTGTGAAATTTTGGCAGATATTTTACTGAGAATATTTTTGTTGCGAATATATCAAAAGAGTGCATACATCAATTAATAGGTTACAACATTTTCTCAGGTTTCCGAATGTTTGTCGAGTAATTGGTTTTTATTTATGTATTAGATCAATCTAATCATTTACATTTACCTGCTCTATAAGGAAAGCTGAAATCCATCGAAAAAAATTGTTGTTACGTTTTAGCTGATAATTCACACATCAATAATCGCAGCAAGAATAAAACAATAACTGTATTAATAAAGAAAATAATATTCCAATCAATATTTTATTAAAACGACGCGCAATATTTTTCTTGGAATTCTAGTTCTAACTTCCAAGACGAACTCGTATCTTGGATAAAAAATTCCTTTTTGTTCTACCCTGAGCGATATAACATTAAAATTTGTAAGCTGCTAGCTATTTAAAATGAAATATTCTTCATCTATTCTACTAATTGTGTCAATGGCAATTGTGAGCTTCGGAGTTGAAGTAAATTTCATACATGAATGGAAATACGCTGACTTTGAATGGGAAAGTCAAGAGCAGAAGCAGGCAGCGATAAATTCCGGCACTTACAATCCATTAATGTGCGTGTTCGAAGATGCAAGTAAAGCGGATGGTAGGTTGATAGTAAATAATTTTAAAAAATGTGTAATACTTAATTTTAGAAGTCAATTGAAATTTTGGTTTCGGGTCCGGTTTTGTTAAAATCAGGATTTTGATTTGATTTTGGTTTCGATAAAAATTAAGAAAAAATTTAGGTGGGTAAACCGTACGTTGCAACTCACCAAAATGAATGATCAAAAAACAAGTGTTCGATTTTAATTATTAACTCGTTCATTGAGCTTAAGACAAACATTGAATTTAAGTACAAACTTTGTTGAAATATTGTCCCACAGATCAAATGATTTCATCTCTAATTACAAATAATTTTTTTCACTACATATGAAGTCAGTTGGTAAAATATATTAGGTGTTGGAATTAATTCGTAGCGTTTTACAAGTGATGGGAAGTACTTTCATTAATGTATTTTTTAATGCTCATGTGAAATAAATAACATTCTTTCATTAAAAAACGCTACGAATTAATTCCAACATCTAATATTATAAAATTTTATTTAATATTATATAATGATTTCTCATGGTTGCATATGTAATTATCGGATTATATATAAAAATTTCATATGGATTTTATAATAATTTCAAGGACTCTGTCCCATGATTACATTAAGTAATTACTCTCTCGTAACTATATGATTTCTTTAAAAGTTAAGAAGGCAGTCTTATTATATTATCATAGATATTTTAATAAAATCTTGTTTTTTAAAAAGTACAGAAATTTGTTATAATTTCTGAAAATCATACAATCTCTGTAAAATTAATCCAAACATGTCGATTTCGACTCTGGCCGAAAAAATTCCTCGAAAAAACTCCTTTAGACTCTCTCTCTCTCTCTCTCTCTCTCTCTCTCTCTCTCTCTCTCTCTCTCTCTCTCTATCTCTCTCTCTCTGTCTCTCTCTCTATCTCTTTTTTTTAGTAAGAATTGTCTAAATTTCGGTTTCATTTTCGGCCAAAATTAAATGACAACCGAATATTCGTTTTCAGTTTTTGACCGGAAATCAAAATATCATTTCGGTTGGGCTCTATTTAATTTTATATAGAAACATGAATATTCCTCTTACATCACACAGTTTATTGTTATAGTATTTAACTGTAGAATAATCATAAAAAAAATTAAATTATAATATAAGCATATTCGGAATTAATACATTTCATAGTTCGATATTATTAATACAACGTACAGCGTTACTACTGTCGTAAAATTAAAGAAATAAACATAATTTTTAATAGCAAACATTCGATTTATAAACAAAATATTTGCAGATGGTAGACTATTCATTACTATTACTAATGTATACGGCCCTGGCTCACCTGCTTCTTTGACGACAGTAACTAATAAAATAGGTTCAGGTGGTCCACTTTTACGGCCATATCCAAATTGGAGCTGGTATGATAACAAAAACATATGTGACGGTATTGTAAATGTTTACCGTACGGATGTAAGTATTTCATATCTTTAATATGTTTAAGTTTTTATTTTACATGTATATGTCATGTTTATATCTTATTGTTAAATATATTAATATCAAATAACAATCAGTTTATTTATATATAATAATATTTCAATAATCAACATTGTATTAGAGAAAAAGTTAATGTTGATCCCTACTGCTAATATGGAATCAAAAAATTCTGTTATAATTAACATCTCTTATAAAGTTTATCAATTTCCAGAATATATAGTACATTAAAAATACAAATAGAGTTTTTCATCAATGATTAGTATTAACTGGGGCATACTGCATACATATAATAGTCAAGTTAATAACAATATATAAAATAGAATTTTTACTTTGATCCTAGATTCATTGCAATCACATAATTATTCTGGATAATGGCAAAATCGGGCAATATGACCAAGTCTGTAATCCAAAACTAGTGATTTTTGATTTAAAAGATGATACGCTTGTTAAAACTATTTACCTCCCACTTGATTTTGCAACTAACCGAACAGGTTTTGGATTATTGACAACGCCTTTGATTTATGTTTCCGGAGAATGCAAGCAGTTTCTGTATAAAATGATTGTTAGTACACCTTCTTTTTTAATCGCAGTAATAGATACATATTAGTCTGAGCAAATGTTATTTAATTATATATATTCAATTACATATTACGTATATTAATTACATATGTATATACTTAATCAAATAACTAAATAATATTTGCATAGACAAATGTATATGCAATATATTGTATTTGCTTGTTAAATAATTCAATATAATTTTAAAAAACACAGGTATTTATCACTGATACGAAAGGATCCGGTTTAGTGATGTATGACTCATCTACAAAGCGTATGTGCAGAATTGAATCTGATTATATGAAACCGACTGATATTTTTTTCTCTGTAGCAAATCAAAATTTTACTTATGAGGGCGGAATCTTCAGTATAACAATCCTTGATGATGGCAAGTAGACGCTTTTAATATAATAAAAGTTATTTCAAATGTAATTATGTGCAAAAAGTCATACAAAAATGAGATTTTAAAGCTAAAAGTTAATACTTTTCTGCGAATTATCTACATTATTGTATACATAGCATTAACAATATTTAGAAAAAATTCATTCATTTTTGGCTATTCATTTTTGGCTTCATTTTGACGTCATTTCTCTCAGAATTGTAACATGATATATAGCTAAATTTGCATAAAAATCTGATTCATATTTAATATGTAAAAAACTATGGTGATTATAAAATAGAAATAATCTATTAACGTAAAAAAAATGATTAAATACTTGTTAGACGGTTATTCAAAAACATAAATTCGCAAGCTAGTATAATGTAATGTAATCTGTGACGGCATATTTCGCTGTAACATTTAAATAATCTTTTTTTTGTTTTTCTTGCATTTTAGAACTTTATTATGTTCCCATATCGGGAAAAGTAATATATAAGATAAAAATAAAGACACTACTAGAATGTCCAAACAAAGAAGAGACTAATAAACAAAATAAACTAGTGACTAAATTATCAAGCCAAACAGCAGTTATTACATCATCAGAAAATTCAATATTTTATAGTGATTACAAGGCAATGTCTATTCTAGGCATGAACATTCTTAATAAGTCCAGTAAAAATGCGGTAAGATATTTAAATATAGATAGTCCTTACATACAAATTATTAAAATCTTATTTCGAATTCTATTAAAACGATTGTTACATTTAATAGTTATTGATATGATTTTATCTTTGTAAAATAAGATATTAACTTTAAGGTGGAACTAGCACAAGACGACGAAAAATTTCAAGTTATAAGTTCGATGAAAGTTTCAAGTTATTGGAATCAAATGACATGTATATCAAATAGATATCAACATTTTGCTTTGCATACATTAAATCTAGGTGATACAAACTTCCGCTATTTTGAAATGAATGTATCAGAAATAAAAAAAAAGATGAATTAACAATTGTATATCTTGATTTTGGATGTCTTCTGAATCTTCAAACGAAATGAATATCTTGCATTAAAAAAAGGTGCTTATATAAAAAGTTAGGAACTCTTACATAAACATAATTAAATCAAATCTTTAAGTATATAAGACAAAAATGAAAAAGGAAATAAAACAAATGAAAAAAGAAATGGAGAGTAGTTAGCACTTTTCTAATTCTTTTCTTTGCAAAGAACTCATAAATTATGTAATCGATTAGGAAATAAAAATTCCTCATTTGTATCAGCTTGGCAATAAAAAATTTATATTATTCTAATAAACACGACATCTTCGTTACACGGATCCAACGCTGTTAATTCAAACATATTTCAAATTTAATCAACAAATCTTTCAACCAAAAAGTTGTTTAATTCAACTAATTGGATCATTCAGAGTGTATGCGTTCACAATCTATAAAACATCGAAATCTTTCCCGCAAATAATCATCAACTGTTGCTGCAATTGCTATATGATATTTTATCATATTTTTATATATATTTTGTAATCATTTCAGAACTTTATTATGCTGTTGTCGGGAATGGAAATATATAAGTGAAAATACAATCGATACGTTATCCGAATAAAGAAGAAACTAATAAATTAAACCCATAAGTTAAATTATCAAATCAAACGGCAGATCACATCAGCGGGATATTCAATACTTTGTGGCGATTCTTATGAAGGGCGATTCTTAGGTATTTTAGGGGAACAAGAATTTCTGATTAATCTGACAAAAACACGATAAGATAACCAGACGCAATTATTTCTTACATGTATATTGATAATACATGATTTCAAATTTAATTAATGTTTGTTACATCTAATAGTTGTTGGTATGAGTTTATCGCTATAAAATAAAATATTAATTTTAATGCTACTAGCGCAAGATAACAAAATTTTTCAAGCAATAACTTCGACAAAATCACGTTATTGAGATCGATCCTATCAAATAAATTTCAACATATAGCTCAAAAAACATCAGTTTAGATGAAATGAACTTCCATTATTTTGAAATAGATTTAGCAGAAATGTAGAAGAAGATGGATTCGATTCCTTGAAACACTTATTATATATAAATATATATATATATATATATATATATATAACTTAATTAAATATTAGTATACATATATATATATATATATTAATATTTAATTCGGTTTTATAATAAAAGATTTTGAGAATGAAAATTCAAATATGATAGCATAAGAAGCTAGAGAGTTACTTTGAAGAAGCCTTAATTTTCCTATATTTTAACAAATATTTATATATTAAATCTATTTATAATAATAAACACTCAAGATTCCGATTTATATATTATATGTACAGGCTATTCATAAACTAATGATACAATTAAAAAGACATAAAATATTGAGTCAAAGACATGTATAGAATTACATTTTTTCATATGAGATTTTGTTTTCGAAAGAATCAATTTTCAATGTTCGCTCGATAGTGATTTAATTGATAAACAAAAACATTAGAAGAAGTTTTGAAACATTCATATAAAAACTACTTGGAAAAGCAGAATTATGTGTTCCACAGAATGGACAACATTTTTATCAATTTATAAAATAATAATATTAATTGTGCGCGAATATCATATTTTATTATGTATCTCTTTTTATTATGTATTACTTAGTATGGTAATAAACATGAGTAGACGCAATACCATAGTTTACAGCGCGATTTATTAAATCGAGACATAGTTATGAATGTACATGTATCTCGTAAATATTTAAAATCAATTTTCTCAAAAATCTCGTATAAGACAACTTATTTTACGTTTTTTCGATTTATTTTTTCATATAGAGTCCATTCTTGATTGGCATTTTGTGTTGCACCTCAATTGAACGCATGAATGTTAGGTGACATAATTCTTTAACTTCAATTGCGTATAATTATTAAAACATTATAGTTTCGACATTTTGGTATTAGGATTTTCATCTTAAAATAATCTCAGGAATTTCTTATTTATATATTCTTAGGAGTTGCTCGGTTTTTACCGAATATCTTGTATATTTATTTATATGGAATATTATAAATAATTGAATTTAAGCATAGTCTGCTTAAGAAAATGTTCAATGTTAAGCAGACTATATGGTTAAATTCAATTAAATAAACTTTGTTGAATAAACTAAATTTGCAAACAATTATAAATAAAAAATAAATAATAAATAAATAAAAAAGTGTCAATCTAATCAAAATTTTCAAGCAAACTGTCTATTTGCTAAAATGTCAAAATTCCTTGCAACATTGCACATTATGTGTGAGATTGCTACGTAATTATTTAGATGTAATGATGACATAATTATTTTCTAACAAAATTATTTTCCGACCTGTATTTAGTTAAATTTTCAAATACTTCGACAAAATGGTTCCTTTTGTGTTTTCGATTTCAGTTGGCTTCAGTAATAAGATAAGACCTGCACATGTAACCATACACACATAATGCGTGTCATAAGTTATTTATAAATATTGTAACAATATACGTAACGCCAAAAGACTTTTAATGGCCGTAATTATGATTACAGTGGTTACATAACCAAGTGTTTTGAAAAAACATTTTCATACATATTTGTCGAAAAAAATATAACTGACAGACAAGTTATTGCACTAGCATTTGCAACTTACACGTCTACCGATATACAGGTCAGTTATTTTATTTTATTGTTACAATCCAAAAGTCAAAACCTCAATTACTAAGAAAGGCACTGAATATTTCTGGTTGAAAATGGACGGATCTAAATTTCCTGGTTGAATTTGTTAAATTCTAATGAGATAAACAGATGTCCTATTATAATGACCAAATTGTGATTAATATTGATTATATCAATAGAATCTTACTAGTTTATTCATTTTCAACCAAAAGTTTCTCTCAATGCACGCGTGTTCAAAAATTTTTCCACTTGAAAAAAAGCGTTGCAACGTTTCAGCTGATGATCGGACATCAATAACCGCAGAAAGAATAAAACGACAACTGTATAAAGAGAGTAAAATTCCAATCAATATTTCATTAAAAGAACACCTGTGCAATATTTTTCTTGGGATTCAAAGTTTAAACTCCAAAGACGAATTCGTATCTTGAATAAAAAAATCTCTTTTTGTTACGCCCTAAGCTACACAACATTACCTATAAGCTACCTATAAGCTACCAGCTACTAAAAATGGGATTTCCTTTGTTCATTCTATTAATTCTGTCAATGGCGATTGTGAGCTTCGGAGTTGAAGTGAATGTCATACATGAATGGAAATATGCTGACTTTGAATGGCGAAGTCAGGAGCAGAAAAAAGAAGCGTTAAGATCCGGCTCTTACAATCCATTAATGTGCTTATTCGAAGATGCAAGTAAAGCGGATGGTAGGTTAATGGTAGATCATTCGAAAAAATTGTAATAGTTAAATTTACACAGAAACATGAATACTTCTCTTTTATCACGCAATTGACAGTTATAACATTTAATTGTAGTGTAATCATAAAAAATATAGTATTTAATTGTAATATAAACATATTATGGATTAATATATTTCATACTTTGATATTGTCAACACAACGCATAGCATTACTACTGTCATGAAATTAAAAAAGTAAACATAATTTTTAGTAAAAAAACGTAGGTTCAAATAAAATATTTACAGATGGTAGACTATTCGTTACTGTTACTAATGTATATGGCTCTGGTTCACCTGCTACTTTGACAACAGTAACTAATAAAATAGGACCAGGAGGTCCAATTTTACGACCATATCCAGATTGGAGTTGGTACAATAGCAAATGTATGTGTGATGGTATTGTAAATGTTTATCGAACGAATGTAAGTATTCAATATCTTTAATTCAAGTGATTCTTTAATTTATATGTTACATATTTATATCTTATATTTAAATATATCAATATTAAATAACTATCAGTTTATTTATATATAACATTTAAATAATCAACACTTTATTAAAGGAAAAGGTGTTAATATGGATCATTACTGCTAATATGGGATCATTTTAAAAATTCTATTATAATTAACATCCAATTTACGGAATATATGGTACAGGAATACAAATAGAGTTTTTCATGAATGATTAGTGTTAATTGTAGTACACTGCATATATACACAATGATCAGGTTAATAATAATATATGAAATAGAATTTTTATCTTAATCCTAGATTCAATGCAATCACATCATCGTTCTGGATAATGGTAAAATCGGGCAATTCGACCAAGTCTGTAATCCAAAATTATTGATCTTTGATTTAAAAGATGATACACTTGTTAAAACTATTTATCTTCCACTTGATTTCGCTACTAACCAAACAGGCTCTGGATTATTGATAACGCCTTTGGTTTATGCTCCCGGAGAATGCAAACAGTTTCTGAATAAAATGATTGTTAGTATACCTTCTTTTTTAATCGCAGTAATAAATATTAGCTTGCGCAAGTATTATTTAATTACACATTTAATTACATATACACACATATATGTATATACTTAACCGTATATACTGAGTAACTAAATAATATTTGCGTAAACAAATATATATGCAATATATTGTATCTTACTTATTAAATAATTCAATGTACATGTAAATAAATATAGGTATTTGTAACTGATACAGAAGGTTCAGGTTTAGTGGTGTACGAATCATCTACAAAGCGTATGTGCAGAGTCGAATCTGATTACATGAAACCGGTAGATACTTTTTTCTCTGTAGCAAAGCAAAATTTTACTCATGAAGGCGGAATTTTCAGTATAACAGTCGTTAATGATGGCAAGTATATGCTTTTATAAAATAAATGTTATTTTAAGCATAATGATAGCAAAAAGACATATAAGAACAAAACCAAATGTACATTTTAAAGCTAAACGTTGAAATTTTTACATTATATACATTATATATATGCGTGTGTGCAGTATTAATAATATTTTTAAAAAATTGATCGTCAATGTTACAACGTGTTGAAAATCCTTAAAATCATCATTTTGGCCTCTGACGTCATTTCTCTCAGAATTGTAACATGATATACAGCTAAATTTGCATAAAAATCTTCATATTCAATATGTAAAAAAATTATGATAATTACAATAAAAACAAATAAATAATGTATCAATGTAAACAAATTATTAAATATTTGCTAGACTTTATTAAAAAATGTAAATTCGCAGGCTAGTATAATCTGCAATGGCATATTTCGCTGTAACATCTAAATAATCTTTTTTTTTTGTTTTCCTTGCTAAATATTTTAGAACTATATTATGTTCCTATATCGGGAAAAGTAATATATAAGATAAAAATAGAGACGCTGTTAAAATGTCCAAACAAAGAAGAGGCTAATAAACAAAGTAAACTAGTGACTAAATTATCAAGCCAAACAGCAGTTATTACATCAACGAAAAATTCAATATTTTATAGCAATTACAAGGCAATGTCTATTCTAGGCATGAACATCTGTGCGAAATCTAATAAAATCGCAGTAAGATATTTAAATATTATACAATTAGTCTTTACATACATATTGTTAAAATATTATTTCGGATTCTATTAAAACGATTGTTACATTTAATAGTTATTAGTATGACTTTATCTCTGTAAAATAAAATATTAATTTTCAGGTTGAAATAGCGCAAGACAACGAAAAATTTCAAGTTATAAGTTCGATGAAAGTTTCAAGTTATTGGAATAGAATGATATGTATGTCAAATAGATATCAACATTTCGCTCTGCATACATTAAATCTAGGTGTTACAAACTTCCGTTATTTTGAAATAAAATTACCAGAAATAAAGAAAATTATAGATTAACATTTCTACGTCTTGATTTCGGATGTCTTCTGAATCTTCAAATAAAATGAGTATCTTGCACTGAAAAAAAGTGCTCATATAAAAAGTTATGAACTCTTACATAAACATAAGTAAAGGATATCTTTAGTTGAGTATATAAGGCAGAAAACGAAAAGAAATGAAATAAAGGAAGAAAGGATAGAGAGTAGAACGCACTTTTCTAATCCTTTTGCGAAGGACTCATAAATTATGTCATCAATTAGGAAATAAAAATTCCTCATTTGTATCAGCTTAGCAATAAAAGATTTGTATTACTTTAATAAACACGACATCTTCGCCACACATCGATACAACGACTTCGATCCTTCAACAATTCAGTTTTGTATGGTGTTTTTCTTAAATGAAAGAAGAAAAGTTCACATTAAATAGTAGCAACTTTATTATTTGAGATATCTATCCGTATCTATTCCATTGAAATCCTTGAATATCTCTTTTTTTACATTATGTATATTTATGACGATGCATTCAATATTCATGTTTGAATTTAAAAATTCGGAACATTATTTTTTTGGAAGACATTATTCTAAAGATTCAGAGATAATCTTTATTATTTGAATGCATTTCTTGTAAATAAATTTTTGGGTGTAATGCTTATTTTTGAAATAAATACGTAATACTTTATATAAATAAGTATATATAAATCAAAATCGCAAATAGTTTTAAAGTAAATTTATTTCTCTATTTCCGAATACTTTTTAACACAATCAGTCCATAAAAATGATTATTTATGCAAACCTTTAAATTAGAAATAAATATATGAAAAAATTATATAAATATATCATTTTAATGTTGTCTGTATTTTTATTTTTAAAATGATTAATCTTTTGCTTTATAATTGTCATTAATATATCAATACCAATGTCTTTAAGTACACTGAGAAAAATATATTCCAAATTATAATAAATATTTATTTGAATAGTACCAACTAAATATTTATTAAACATAAAAATATATTTATTTGATACAAAAAACATTAATTTGATTTAACAATCACTTCTTTTTATTAAGTATTTATTTATTGTAAATAAATGTTTAGTTAGCATATTTAAATAAATATTTATTTAAATTTAGATTATTTTTTCTCAGTGTAGAATCTGATAAAAAATATTTCAATAATGTTCCTTACAAGCAATGATCTTATATTGTAATAATATAAAATCATTATATTATCATTCGCTGCGTCATTATTTCGCGGTTCTCATGTTTGTTATCTGTCACCGTTAATTATGTATCGGATGATCGAGCAACAATGTTTCAACATTATCCCCTCCAGGTTGATGGCCATTTTTTCACTATGACTGGCATAAGTTGTATTCCTATCTTTATACATCGGAGATAATAGATACTATAATCTAAAGTAATTTTAATATGTTGACACAAAAATATATAACAAACAAAAATTTTTTTGTCAATTCACTTATTCATTATGAAAAGGGTTTGGATATCATAGTGGTCATGTTTAGAATAATAGTTAATTATAATTATAAATTAATTGCGATTTCTAGAGACCAATTATTAATTATATACAGCTATATATATAAATATTAAATAATTATGTTTTTATGGATTTTTTTCTCTCCAGTAATTATGTTTATTTTATTATATTGCATTATTAATGATCAATACTTTCCGATGACCTTAACCATTAAATACGTAACGATTATATACGATATATGTTAATTATCGTGCATGCGAAAAAATGTCATAAGTCATTTATAATTATTATAATAACATAATCCTGAGTCAAAAGACTTTTAATGAAATTGTAATTATTATAGTTATAGTTTATATAACTAGATGTTCTAAAAACATCTTTTATACGTATTCATTGAAAATATTATAAACGACAAACAAATGTTATTGCACACACATTTGCGACCTACGCATCGTTCGATACAGGTGAGTCATCTCATTTTATTACTGCGATTCAAAAAGTCACAATTTTAAATTATTAAGAGACGCGTATTGAAAAAATTTCTGATAAATAGTAGACAAATTTGAATTTCCTGGTTGAAATATATGTATCTTTAAAAAATTATTATCAAATACATCATTATTGCATTTCACGATCAATTTCAATAGCAAATATCTAAGCGGAAAATTATTATATATAATATATTAATAAAAACAAAGAAATCATATGTTTCATACATCATATGTATCATGTTGTACATACGTATATTTGTAAAATTCTGACAGATATTCCGTTTCGAGAAAATTTTTGGCCTGATTACGTTAAAAGACTGTACACCCATTAACTAAAAGACTGTAACACTTTTTTTCGATGAATTTCATGATACAAACTGCTCACCGAGTGATTCGTTCTGACTTATGAATTGAATGAGCCTAATAATTTATATTCAACTTTGCAAGCAAGATTGAGTTCTGAAATTCATCGGAAAAAAAAGTGTTCCAAACTTTTAGCTATAAAGTTGTACATCGAAGCAAGAACAAAACGACTACATTACTACAAATGTTAATCAAGATATTAATAAAGATATTAATAATATATTAATAAAAACAGTAACTTATCAATAAATTTAAGGCTTAATTAAAGCTGAAATCCATCGAAAAAAAGTGTTGTAACGTTTTAGCTGATAATTCACACATCAATCGCAACAAGAATAAAACAATAACTATATTAATAAAGAAAGCAATATTCCAATCAACATTTTTTTCGTTCTACCCTGAGCGATACAACATTACTATTTAAAAATGAAATATTCTTCATCTATTCTACTAATTATGTCAATGGCAATTGTGAGCTTCGGAGTTGAAATAAATTTCATACATGAATGGAAATACGCTGACTTTGAATGGGAAAGTCAAGAGCAGAAGCAGGCAGCGATAAATTCCGGCACTTACAATCCATTAATGTGCGTGTTCGAAGATGCAAGTAAAGCGGATGGTAGGTTGATAGTAGATAATTTTAAAAAATTTGTAATACTTAATTTTAGAAGTCAATCGAAATTTTAGTTTCGGACTCGGTTTTGTTAAAATCAGGATTTTGATTTGATTTTGATTTCAATAAAAATTAAGAAAAAATTTAGGTAGGTAAATCAAAACTGTACGTTGCAACGCACCAAAATGAATGATAAAAAAATAACTGTTCGATTTTAATTATTAACTCGTTCATTGAGCTTAAGACAAACATTGAATTTAAGTTTGTTGAAATATTGTCCCACAGATCATATGATTTCATCTCTAATTACAAATAATTTTTTTCACTACATATGAGTAGGTATCAGTTGGTAAAATATAAAATTTTATTTAATATTATATAATGATTTCTCATGGTTGCATATGTAATTATCGGATTATATATAAAAATTTCATATGGATTTTATAATAATTTCAAGGACTCTGTCCCATGATTACATTAAGTAATTACTCTCTCGTAACTATATGATTTCTTTAAAAGTTAAGAAGGCAGTCTTATTATATTATCATAGATATTTTAATAAAATCTTGTTTTTTAAAAAGTACAGAAATTTGTCATAATTTCTGAAAATCATACAATCTCTGTAAAATTAATCCAAACATGTCGATTTCGACTCTGGCCGAAAAAATTCCTCGAAAAAACTCCTTTAGACTCTCTCTCTCTCTCTCTCTCTCTCTCTCTCTCTCTCTCTCTCTCTCTCTCTCTCTACCTCTCTCTACCTCTTTTTTTTAGTAAGAATTGTCTAAATTTCGGTTTCATTTTCGGCCAAAATTAAATGACAACCGAATATTCGTTTTCAGTTTTTGACCGGAAATCAAAATATCATTTCGGTTGGGCTCTATTTAATTTTATATAGAAACATGAATATTCCTCTTACATCACACAATTTATTGTTATAGTATTTAACTGTAGAATAATCATAAAAAAAATTAAATTATAATATAAGCATATTCGGAATTAATACATTTCATTTAGTTCGATATTATTAATACAACGTACAGCGTTACTAGTGTCGTAAAATTAAAGAAATAAACATAATTTTTAATAGCAAACATTCGATTTATAAACAAAATATTTGCAGATGGTAGACTATTCATTACTATTACTAATGTATATGGCCCTGGTTCACCTGCTTCTTTGACGACAGTAACTAATAAAATAGGTTCAGGTGGTCCACTTTTACGGCCATATCCAAATTGGAGCTGGTATGATAACAAAAACATATGTGACGGTATTGTAAATGTTTACCGTACGGATGTAAGTATTTGATACCTTTAATTTGTTTAAGTTTTTTATTTTATATGTATATGTCATGTTTATATCTTATTGTTAAATATATTAATATCAAATAACAATCAGTTTATTTATATATAATAATATTTCAATAATCAACACTGTATTAGAGAAAAAGTTAATGTTGATCCCTACTGCTAATATGGAATCAAAAAATTCTGTTATAATTAACATCTCTTATAAAGTTTATCAATTTCCAGAATATATAGTACATTAAAAATACAAATAGAGTTTTTCATCAATGATTATGAGTATTAACTGGGGCATACTGCATACATATAATAGTCAAGTTAATAACAATATATAAAATAGAATTTTTACTTTGATCCTAGATTCAATGCAATCACTTAATTATTCTGGATAATGGCAAAATCGAGCAATACGACCAAGTCTGTAATCCAAAACTATTGATCTTTGATTTAAAAGATGATACGCTTGTTAAAACTATTTATCTTCCACTTGATTTCACTACTAACCAAACAGGCTCTGGATTATTGATAACGCCTTTGGTTTATGCTCCCGGAGAATGCAAGCAGTTTCTGGATAAAATGATTGTTAATAGACCTTCTTTTTTAATCGCAGTAATAGATATATATTAGTCTGAGCAAATATTACTTAATTGTATATATTTAATTACAAATTACGTATATTAATTACATATGTATATACTTAACCAAATAACTAAATAATATTTGCGTAGACAAATATATATGCAATATATCGTATTTGCTTGTTAAATAATTCAATATACATTTAAATACACATTAAAAAACACAGGTATTTATCACTGATACGAAAGGATCCGGTTTAGTGATGTATGACTCATCTACAAAGCGTATGTGCAGAATTGAATCTGATTATATGAAACCGACTGATATTTTTTTCTCTGTAGCAAATCAAAATTTTACTTATGAGGGCGGAATCTTCAGTATAACAACCCTTGATGATGGCAAGTAGACGATTTTAATATAATAAAAGTTATTTCAATCGTAATGATATGCAAAAAGTCATTCAAAAACCAGATTTTAAAGCTAAAAGTTAATACTTTTATGTTATCTACATTATTGTATACATAGCATTTAGAAAAAATTGGCTATTCATTTTTGGCTTCATTTTGACGTCATTTCTCTCAGAATTGTAACATGGTATATAGCTAAATTTGCATAAAAATCTGATTCATATTTAATATGTAAAAATCTATGGTGATTATAAAATAGAAATAATGTATTAAAAAAAATGATTAAATACTTGTTAGACGGTTATTCAAAAATATAAATTCGCAAGCTAGTATAATCTAATGTGTAACGGCATATTTCGCTGTAACATTTAAATAATCTTTTTTTTTTGTTTTTCTTGCTAAATATTTTAGAACTTTATTATGTTCCCATATCGGGAAAAGTAATATATAAAATAAAAATAAAGACACTACTAGAATGTCCAAACAAAGAAGAGACTAATAAACAAAGTAAACTAGTGACTAAATTATCAAGCCAAACAGCAGTTATTACATCATCAGAAAATGCAATATTTTATAGTGATTACAAGGCAATGTCTATTCTAGGCATGAACATTCTTAATAAGTCCAGTAAAAATGCGGTAAGATATTTAAATATAGATAGTCCTTACATACAAATTATTAAGATCTTATTTCGAATTCTATTAAAACGATTGTTACATTTAATAGTTATTAGTATGATTTTATCTTTGTAAAATAAGATATTAACTTTAAGGTGGAACTAGCACAAGACGACGAAAAATTTCAAGTTATAAGTTCGATGAAAGTTTCAAGTTATTGGAACCAAATGACATGTTTATCAGATAGATTTCAACATTTTGCTTTGAATACATTAAATCTAAGTGATACAAATTTCCGCTACTTCGAAATGAATTTATCAGAAATACAGAAAATTATGAACCAGCACTTCTATGTCTTGGATTTTAATATATTTTAAGACACAAACTTATTCATAGTAATTTTATGTAATATTCCATATGAATACAAAGATATAAGATTTAAATTTACATACAGCATATGTGTAAGAATTTTATAATATATATATATATATATATATATATATATATATAATTGCAAAAGATTATTAATTTGCAGACCTTTTAAATTTAGAAAATTTAAAGAAAACATACACACAAAAATTGTAATTGGTATCAATAATAAACTATTTTAAATTCTGAAAAAATTCTGAAAATAAATTTAGAACATTATTTCCTCATCTATTACCTCATAAACGCAAATCAAAATAAATATAACGAAATAAACTAGATATTAGCATTACTAATTAATGTCCACACATCATCTTAACATTATCAATCTTTTTAGGAGGCCTGCTATACCGAACCTTGCTATCTATTCTTAAAATGTCAATAAAAAAGTCAACAATAAAAATCTTATAAAATTTTCCATATTATCGGTGGAGAGTTGAAAAGTACAACACTATAGTCTAAAAATGTCAGACAGTATTTGAGAAATTCTTATTTGAGAAATTCTAGAATGCATAAAAAATATACTTTTTTAAATGCATACATTAAAAATAATAAATAAAAATTTAATTTACATATAATTGTAAAAATTAGAAACGAAATTTATTATTAAAATCTAAATTATAGATTTTAAAGTAGGCTTTGAATTAAAAGCATTTCAATAGTTTACTATCTTTCAAAATAATTATAAAAATTGTTAAAATTATATAACAGTTAAGCTCGGGCATGAATTTAAATATCAGAGGTGGTTGATTTTAAAAATTGAAATTTTATTTATATTTTTATAAGCAAAAACAACAAAATTCAAGTACACTTATTTCATACATGTTAACTTCTACTAAAATATAATTGTACAGTAACATGACTCGTGTGTGTAAGATGCAACGCTTTAATGTCTTTATGAATAGTCGGCATACAATCGGACGCATCCGGCGAATGGAGGTCAATATTTTGTGAAAAGGAATCTATATGAATCCTTGTTCGGCTATGCATGCACTGGTAAGGATTATCATTGCGGGCAAGCCTTCCCGCACGTTTTCCTCTCTCTCTCTCTCTCTCTCTCATTCTCACTCTTTCTTTCTCTCATCAATTTTAACAAGTCTTAACCACACCTTGATATCTCGCTACTGACTATTATCAAGGAGAGTGCTTTGAAATAGTTACAAAAACGGCCGCCACAGAATAAGGCACACAATTGATGCAACGCGCATTTTTTTTTCAATGTAACGATATATATTCGTACTTATTCTTTAATGTTACTTTGGTGTGAACGAACGTCCATAGAGCTACGCCTAATCATCTTGGAAATGATTTATACGTATGCTTAAGGAAACTAGAACATTGCAGGAACAATGGTGTCTACATATCGCTGCTGCGTGACATTAGGTTTCGCGTTCCTATCCTTCCTTTCCTCCCTTCCCTCGCCCACCGTATCACTAGCATTGTCTTATCGTCTCGCTACATCATTCTTTTTCTTCTTTATTATCATTATCATTAATTATCAGTATTTATTATCATTTTGCGTTCTGCTAATGCCTCAAATGACTTTATTTACACATCCTTCTGAGGTATGTTATGGGCGTTATGATATGGGATACATGACCTCGTGAACCATGTCTATCAATCGACCTACGCAATTATGCAACCTAAGGTACCTTCAGTCTATTCTGGACACAAATCAACTAAAACGTGGGCTATGTCGTAACAAGTGCAGCTTTTCTTTATGTATATGCGTAAGTACACATATGCATCTTTGCAGTGCGTTCATCCGATTCCGGTCAAAACGCGTCTATCGGAAAAAAGAAAAAAAAAGAAAAAAAACCGCCTCGCTTCTCCCTGATTTCTCGACGAACGTTTAAAGATGAGATCGTCCTCGTGACTCGGCTATTCGCATTGTGAAATCCAAATTTGGTGTCGAAAAAACTTGTCGATTACATCTAGTTTTAGAGATACGGAAATTTAATAAAGTCGCTTTAATAGTGTCGCTTCCTTAAATTGCAGCGATCTCGAAGACACGAAAGATGATATCTTTTTACAGATTCAAATTCTGCGACACGCGAATTAGCGAAATTCAAACGGGAGAAATAGATTTGGTAATGCTTGCTCTAAACGTCCGTTGAACTGCAATCGTTACATGCAGATCGTTATGTAACCGTCGTAAGATTCTTCTATATACTTCATTATACTTCTCAATAACAGACTAAAGCTATGGCTCACTGTTTTATCGCTGTCCATCTGTTTTTTTTTCAGCTAGTACCTTCTATGAGAACGCGATATTACATCTACGCGATTATATTACGTAATGCTATTTAAAAGCATGTATTATTGAACGATTTGCTTTGTCAGCCCTCCTCGGTAAGTTTCCCCCTTTCTTTAAGAGAAAGAAAAAGGAGATTCACAGTTGAACATGCGGGATATTCCAATAATGCCGAGTTAAAAATTGCGAGCAGTCAAAACTTTCCTAAGCAAAGGCCATCCAACGTGATTACGTGCAACAATAACTCCTAGTCTTTTAACATTCGTGTCTTTTATATAGATTCTAAAAATAACGCTCTTGTCATTTCGACTGAGTGGTATTACGAGATATCGTAGCGAGAATAAAAACAACAGTCTGGCATCTCCTATGCCCTCTACACTTCTCCATATACTTCTTCCTTCTCCTTTCTCTCTTCTTTATTTATTTCATCCAAAATAAAATTCGCGCTTTTTCCTATGATAACCTGGAAAAAAACAACATATTGCCTCTTAATAATATAAGCTCGGTCCAGATAAAAGCTGAACGCTGAAACGTTACGAATCTCTTTGATTACGAATAATGATATACAGCAATGCTTATAATGATAATAATGGTAAAATGCTATCGTAGAGTGACTGCTACAATGCATGCTCCCACACATAAAATTTTGAAAGTTTTCTCACAGAAAGTTATACATCACAAACGAACTCTTAAAACTATTTACAAAAATGGATCGCGATTCGCGATGCTTTTCAAATAATATGTAGTTTTCTTTGAGCGTGTCACTGAACTTTCAAAAGAATATCGATTCATTAAATCTCCGTCCAATGGAGATAAGACATTTGCTTTTGTATTGTGAGAGGGGTGCATATTACACGTACATATACGTGATATACCCGGAGAAAGCACTACGCCCTGGCCTATTTTAAAAAGAATGGCCTTGACGCGATTATATGATTATATATTATTATAATATAAGGTATGTTATAATAATATATTTTTTTTCGTTTGAAAAAGAGTTTGCGCAATGGGTATATCTTCTTGATATTATTGTATGTTGCAGCACACCGCTCTGCACGGTATCGGACCATCGCCGTTCTGACCATACAATGATCTTTGCCCGAACATCTTCGAATCGAATGATAAGAATGGTGATTTTCCGTTGTAACAGCTTTCGTATACCTCGAACGCCTCATCGATGGGTATCTTCTCATCCGCTATGATAACGTCCTGATTTTTGTCCGGTATATAGATTGGGATTTCCTCGCCACGGAAATACCCGATTGTTTTGTCCTCCGGATCATTTGGCACTGTTCTCGACGAAATTACCGACGTGCTAAATTCGCTTGACTCTTCCTCCGTGTTGACGGTATCCCGTGCGAGTCTGTAATACCTCTGCACATGTTCCACGATGGCTTTTTCGACCTCGATGTTATCGTCCTCCGCCGCCTCGCCTTCGCATAGGACTCCCGGACTTTGCAGCATCCTTTTTGGAGTTATCACAGGTTCCACAGTTTCTACTTCCCAGCACTCCAATACGTCGGGCTCCTCTATGCTGACCGAGGATCCTATCATTATGCTATCGTTTTCGTCGTTTTCGCTGCTGTTCTTGCTGATCTTCTCGCATATCTCCACGTTTTTGTTAATCACGTCGACGTAAGCAGTGGTCTTCGCAACGGGATTACCATGAAAATTAAACGGCACAGGTTCGTACGAGGATGTCGGTAACAATCTGCCGTCTTGCGAAACGATAATTTCTCCCTTCTCGAACGTCCGCACGCTCACCATACTGTCCTCGATCGTTTCTTTATCCTTCCCGTCGTTTAAATTGTCTATACGTCGCATTTTGATATCAATATTCTCAACAGGATTTTTACTGATTTTTCTTAATGTCTTCATTCGTCTTCCGTTAACTCTCTTCGAGTTTATCCGAGAACTTAAAGCAACCCTCATACCCGCAACGCTATCCTCCTGAGTAAATTCGCAAACGTCACCAACATTATTCTTCGGCTTGTCTTTCGATCTCACGGCAGTAACAAAGTTCAACGAAACCAACGAGGAAACTAACTGGCTCTGCGTTTTCTCATCGACATTCTTGTTTCGTTTGTCGTTTCTCTTTGCCATTGTTTTTCTTTTTACAACTTTCGCGTCCCTTTTTCTTCTGCCGATCGACGTTGAATCAGCTTCCATCTGATCATTCCTGGCGTTGTTGTTGTTGATGTTATTATTGTTGGTCTTTGCGAATTCGCCGCAGCTAGCCGTGCACGACAACAATGTAACGTTGTCAACACCGCTATTAGCAGATAGTGCAGGCATGGGGTTGCCTTGCAAGTTTTTTGGCGGCTTTGCATCTATTTCTTCATCATCCTCGTCTGTCTCGCTCTCCGAGGTCGACGCCGACGTTATGAAAAGATCGGGCGAGTTCGCTCGACGTAGCCACTCCTTCACCGCAGCTGTAATTGGATATTTTTTCGATAACCGAGTCTGGCTCTCAAATCCGGAATCCTCGTTCGAGCCTTCGATTGTATCTTGATTTGTCGTTTTGATCGTGCTCTCGTTATGTACCTCCAGTGCGTCTCCCTCGTTCGCCACCTTCCGCTCCGTCTCACCCAGTTTATCGTTCACAATATTGCATTTGCAATCTGCGTCCGACAGTTCGATAGCTTCGAATTGTTGTACGAGTATCTTGCTCTCCACATCCAGATGTTCATCCAAGTCCGGCCCAGGCGTAGACTCTCTCACGAATTTCAGACCCTTCTTGTTGTACTTTCTCGGCAATCCAAGTGACGTTGCTCGCGTAATGGATGAACTGTTGCAATATCGTAATCGTTGAACTTCCTCTTTTTCGTTGACGTTTATCGTTGTTAAATTGGAATCATTTTCTTGAGGACTCACCGATCTTGACTTTGATGCCTTTTCCATTAAGTCAGCAAAATGTTCGTGGTTAGTATCGCCGTTAGCTAAATTTTCTTCAGGGCATCTGACGCGATTATTCAATGTATTCGTATTAATGTCGTTACTATTATTTTCGAATGACTCATGCTTCACATTGGCACTGGTCGAATCGCCATCGTTCTCCAAAGAAGTATCAGTCCTGGAGAGCGTTTCATAATTAGTCGGAGCATTGCTCCTTATCTCAGTAGTCTCATTCATTATTATCGCTTCCACATTCACGACTAGACGATTCACTTGACTGTTAATTTCTATGTTCCTATCTCTGGGCACGTGTCCAACTGTCGGCGACTGAATTTTGGTTAAACATGTCTCTCTAACTATTTGCTCTGAATTATGGATTGTCGTCTCTTCCTGGTTCGTTAGACTTTGAGCGGTTGACGAGTCGCACGTCTCGGTCTCGCGACTGGCGGATTCTGTCTCAGTGTAAGATGACATATCCGGTGCGTCATTGACAGATGACGTGACTTCTTCGGCCACAGTGGTGACGGTGGATGTCAAAGCAGGAGCAGAGAGGATTCGCGATTGTAGGGCTGGCCGCAATTGAAATTCCTGGCACTCGGGATTAAGCGGTCGATTCGCGGCCGACGTCATTGTAATCGCGGTCGAAGTCGGACATTCTGACCAAGGTAGTCGGGAAGACGATACATTATCATTATCACATTCGGAACTGTATTCCCCTTCTTCTTCATCTTCGGTGTTACCCTGAATTTATATAATCGAAAGAAATGATTAGAAATTAATCAAGCATTTATATCAAAAATGTCTTTTGGCAACAAAAATAATTACGATAGTTTTAGTATTAGTATATATAGTCATAACATTTTCGATATATGTTTCATACGATATATGTTATACTAATAACATATATTCTGTTATTACAAATTAATTGTATATTTATGTTAATTATTTCCAAAAAAAGTTTTAGAGTGTCCTAGCATTTATCTTATATTATATGAGTTCGACGTACCAAAGTAGGTCTTCTCTGTTTTCTTTTCTTTTTCTTCTTTCTTCGTTTGGCGCACGCCATTGTCATAGCTGTTACGTCCATGGTTCTCATCAAAGGCCCGCCCTGGATGGTAACACCTTGGACAAAAGAAATCGTCGCGCGTTATCGGTCTGTCGATAGATACGAAGACCGGTCAACGAATAATACTTTAGTGCGACATTTGGCGATCCGATGAACGATTCTCTCAATTGTATGATTAGAAGAACGACTAGAACGTGCCGGAATTGTCGCGAAAAGTGAACCTAGCTTTTCACTGTTTGTCAGTGCCTGCTGACTTCTCATACATCGAAGCGAAACACATGTAAATTTTATTTTTAACAAGTTCTATTTGAGATGTAACAACGTGCTGTCGTTGTCAAACTATCACCTCACGTCTTTCGCGTAGCTAAAACATATTTCCGACATTAAATTGTGCCGGTGCGACCATGGGACATATTTTCTCGTGCAGTAGCCACGAGTCAATGGACTCTCGCATGAGATATGCTTCATTATTGGTGCAATGTGAAAACAATGAGACAATACGGCGTGTAGCAGCTGTGAAAAGTATATCGATTGATGTTTATGCGAGTGACATATGTCGTTAGTCGCGAGCGACAAACAGACAAATCGAGCGTGTACAAAGTTGGAACTTTAGGAACGATCGTGAAGAATGAACTACATGTACACTGGACTAATCGTCGGATACTCTCGACATGAAAAAAATGTTGAACGATTTCTCGATACTATTTTGCGAACCTGTGAGGGGCTCAAGGCTCCCACTTCCACGATCGTGTCTAAAGCGTGATACCTTTTTTGCGAATTATTACCTTTTACCTTGAATGTGGTAGAGGCACGGCAGTAATATAACAGCAATGATGCCGATGGACGGGACAGAAGTCATGAATCGGGGCATATCCCTTTTCCTTGGCCGCGCTTCCGATCGACACTGTTCTCGTTTAACATTAGAAATAGGTACAATCAAGCGTACTACGGCCAGTGTAGCGCAGTACGAGGAAGGAGCGTTCAATTAGCACAGATATAAATAACTCAATAATTGCATATCGTTATTTTTTTACAATTTTTTTTATTTCATACTGTTAGTATTTACGTTATTGTTAGTTTATGCAGTGATTTGCGTACAATGTGTCTGCATTATCATTCTTTCCTCAAATCAAATCTTTAATCGAATTGAGTTTTTTTCTAGGAAATTATCCAGACATCAACAAAGTTTTTTAGTTAATATAACCAGTAAAAAAATTAAAAATTATTTAAAAACTATATTTTGAAGTTGCTAATAAATAACAAACACTTTGAACAATTTTGAATAAACAAATATAAATCTTATCTTGATTCACACAATTTTCATAATCCTATTTCTCTATTATCTATTTATAAAACTACAATATAATTAGACTCAATTTCTAATAATTCACAAACATTATAGATTCTAAAGAGTAAAAAATATATTTTTTTGTATATTTTTTCTGATACGACTGCTAATAAATTGTACAAATCGACTGCGCTAGCACTCCCTCCCCGAAATGCGCCTTTTTCTCTTAAACGCAAACGTGGGCAATCAATACACTTGTCCGTTGTTCCGTCCATCCGACTGTGAACAGAACGAAGGCTACGAGCGCGAATGTAGATCTGCTCATGCAAGTAGCAGAGAGCAAGTACAGATTTTGCCAATCCGTATATTATATAGCACGCGTACATTACTGGGGGGACGACTCCGAATCCTAAATCTATCTAGCTTGTAACTAACCATTAACGTTGACCAAGGGAGGTCCAAACATGTAGTGACCAGGATATATGTATGGCTGTGGCATGGCTGGTATCATATGCGACATATGCATTGGCTCTTGCATCATTAATGGATCTAGGTAAGGATCGATCGTCGTCACGCCGTTCTCTAAATGTTGTTGTTCCTCGAGATGCAACTGCGGTTGTTCTTCTATAAGCTGCTCTTTCACGGTATGCTGCTCCATAGTCGCATTTTCCGCCTCTTCGGCTTGCTCTTCGATCTCCTCGGCTACGCTGCCACTGCAGCTAGCGCTACCAGTACCGCTCTCATTCCACATACTGTTGGAAGCTTCCGCTGCCACTATCGTGCCGTTCTGCTCCTCCACTATTGTGATCGGTTCTGTACTTTGATTAGTCTACAAATAATTATATAATAATCAAATAATAATTAATATACTTATAATCAATATACTTATAATTGTTGTAATTGTTATAATTGATTGGAATTAATAAAATAAATTTTTCCTACGCAATTACAAAATTTCAATATTATAACAATAATATTATAGACACACAATTCAAAATATTGTTTAAATTGACTCCAAAATAGGTACTCTATTTATTATTCAATTATAATATTTGTAAAATTTCTGTAGATTTTTATATCAGTATTTCAATCGAGCATCTAATGGAAATATATGTCAAATAAGATTTTTGAACTACCTGATAATCCATTAAGCAATATGGCTGATTGGCAAGTTTAGGCACGAATGCAGGATTAATCCATTCAATCGGTCTTAGAGGAACCGGGCCACAAGGTACAGTCGCTAAAACATTTGGTCCAACTTGAGTAGGTACTGGCGCAGGTCCGACCAACATCACAGGATATTCGTAATAGTAGCCGCTCGCATGATCGTAAAATGTTCCGTATCCTAATTGTGCTCCTGGTTCTGCGCTCATGGGCGGATATTCTCCCGTTCCACTGTCCCTATCCAATAGTTGCTGGTCCTCTGTAGTTTCGCTACCGTCTACAAAGGCGTTGTTATTTAAATATGTTCTCGTTTATCGGTAAACTAAATATATTAGGAACAAGATAATAAAAACTTTCTCCAGTGTCGCTGTAGAAAAGACGAAGGCTTGTCTCGAGTAAATACGTGCAAAGTATATACGAATAAACGCTTATTATTAGATGTTGGAATTCACGTTTTAACAATACAACAATTTGTTTTCTATATTGACGATAAAATTAGAATATTTTATATTTTGCTGACTCAATGACAAAAAAAAAATAAGTTATCTTGACCATAAGTATTAAGCACATCTCAATTTACTATATTTTCTTGGAAAAGAGATAATAAAAGGAAAAGGACTAATAAAAAAAAAAAATTAAAATTATTATAAAAATAAATATGATTTTTCAACAAAACTGGTTTTAATTTATTTTTTGTTAAACACATAGAACGTTAATTGAGATTGCTCTGTATTATACACTATATTTATGACCAAGGCTGTAGTTTGCTGGCATTTTAGCACCACTCACCAGTGGCATTTAGCATTCAGTAATATGTTTATCCTATACGATAACTACCTGCGGTGGAATGTGATGCCGATTGACTCTCCGTAGTCGACGGCGTAGCGCTGGTACTCGCGTTTCCAGTCCAAGGCTTCTTGCGCGACAGGTAACCCTTTTTAAAGAGAACATCTTGTCGCGGTGTCGTAATTCTCGTGTACTCCTCCTCGTTGAAGATGATCTTAGGCTGCGAAGGTGAACCCGCGCTCTCGTCTCTGTGCGATCTTGAGCCGCTGCTGGCGTAGCCGCTCGTACTTCCGCCGCTGATGCTGGTACCAGCTCGACGCGGCTTGTAGCCACCTTGTTGTCCATTCCGATCGAAATGTGTGTGCGCATTCGTCTCCTTCTCCTGACTCTTCACGTAATCTTTTCGCAAACCTTCCTCCTCATCCTCTTCACCGGGTGGAGCTGTTGAACCGAGAGCGACTGTGATTAGCACTCAGATTCACAAAGTGCATGCTGTTCTCTTCAATTAATATCAAGTTAATGAAATAAAAATTTTACGGTAAATAATAAATATACTTCCGCAAAAAGAGAAGAACATTCATGTTGCAATGTTTTTAATGATTCCAAATACCAGGAAGATTTTTTATTTTAAAGATATCTAAATAAAACAAATCGATTTTGTAGATATTTTTCTATAAACATTTTTTACAACTATAATGTCGTGTCCAATTATACATATAGGTACTCATAAAGAATATATTTGTTAAAGTATTTAAAAAGGTTAATCATGATAAACAAAATTTCTGAAATAAGTTTCTCAATGAAATGAAAAGAACTAATGAGAATTAGCGTTGCAAACACAATTGTATACACACACACACACACACACACACACACACACACACACACACACACACACACACACACACACACACACACACACATATATATATATATATATATATATGAACATACGAACTTTATCGTATTTAAATCTTTACATTAAATTACAATACAATGACGTACATTTTGACTAATCTTTTAGCTATCATCAGCAAACGTTAATACAAATAAATGCTGAAGACCCAAATCAAATGCTTCGATCACATTTCTTGAGAGGTACTCAACTTTCTTTCATTAAAGAACAAGAATATGGCTGGATAGTACTGAATGACTGAGAAATCTTCTAAAAAATGTACAACATGGTAGTCAGCACATTGCCATATCAGAATTTAAATTCAAATTTAAATTCTGACATCGCAATATACTAAAATCTATTTGTCATGCTTAGCAAGTTTAATTTTATTCTGTGGCTACTGTATTGTACATTTTTTACAACTGTGTTTTAAAACTGTTACTTTTCGACTTGTTATTACACATTGTATTTTACCACTATTATATATTATTGGCTAAAAACATTCTTTTATTTGTTTACTGAATAGTTATGTTTTAATGAGATATTTCAGTAAATACTTAAATACTTCAGTTCTTTCCGCAAAATCGTTCTTTCCGCAAAAATGTATATTCAGATTTTCATTCACTATATTTAACATTATAAACATCAAATTCAATATCTAGGAAATCGACGCTTCATTCGCATAATACATAATTTAAATTGTAAAAAGTAAGCAAGTGAATTCGTAATTGTAGGTTGTCAGTCGCGTTTAATAACAAGAGAAAATGTAAGATATTTCCGTGACGTCTCTGAAATAATCACTTCGCACGTTATATTTAACGCACGAAACTACATATATCCTTCTAAATACAATATGAAATTGATTGTATCACACAGGAAGTGTTTGTGAAATTGATCGTTAAACAGCAGTATTGTATAAGAGCGCTACATTCAGAAAAAAAAAGAAACACTAATTCATGCAAAATATGTACATAAATTGATGCGCTTTATGTTTGCCTCATTCAAAATTTTATATGTACGAACACAATAGTTTAATATGTATAGTATTATAATAATAGAATTATAGACATCATTAAAAGTACAATCATAATAAAAATGGATAAATTAAAAAATTAAAAATCTCGAAATTGTAACGAATTTCACATTTTATAGCTTCGAGATTGTACTTCAGAAAGTGTATTTAATTATTTAATTATTTAACTGATGATATGAATGAAGCGAATGAATTATTTAATTTATATACAAACTACGATAAGAGAAATTTCACATAGTTTTCTTTCACCTTTCTCTACATTCTCTGCTTAAATCTCGACGCTTTTTATACAAGGTGTTTCTAAATAAATGCAAAAAATTTTAGGAAATAATTTTTTAAAAATTAAGAAGGTTTTTCATAATATGTACTTCTATATCTATCCTTTCCTAAGAAGTTATGCTCCTTCAAGGTGGAGATAAAAATTAAATTTTTATTTTTTCTTTTTAATATTAATAAATATCCCCCAAATATCCTTTTTACTAGTGAAAAATGTCTGCTAAATTTTATTTTCCTAACTTTTGTTTAAAATTTAAAAAAAAAATTAATTTTTACTTCTTCCTTTGAAGGAGTGTAATTTTTCAAGGAAAGATTTTAATTTTTAACAAAGAATTATCTCCTAAAAGGACCCCGCACAAATCATATGAAAAAAATGACTTTAATCAAATTCAGACCAGAAAAAAATAATTTATCACAATTTCAGCCAATTTCACTGAAGTCTTTTTCGATATGATTTGTCCTTTTTCATACTTATTTAAAAACACCTTGTGTATATCGATTCAATATTTTACACAACAAATTACGATCGTCACGTGCAATTATATTGAAATGATGTTTCCGTACCATCTTGGTACCTCGCTAAAAGCAGTACATGATTCGAGGATCCGATCACGTGGGTGACCTTCTTCTGCCGACGCCACTGCATCGCACCCTTGATGTTATCTTCCCTTTAGGATTTTCCTGATTGATCGACGAGCAAAACCGCTCCTCGAAGATGTTCCGACCGATCGATTCGTTTTGAACGTTTGGTGCTTGACGTAAATCGAGAGATCGATTCACGAGGGACATTCACCGCGGTCACTGATAAAGGGATGGCAGTAACAAGTAATATGCATCGCACACGATGCCTCGAGAACGACTGCAATCGGTACGGGGAAGGGGGTGCGAGACACACCGGACGAGACGAAGAGCGAAGAGCCCGCGAGGGATGTATTTGCGCGTACGGTAGCCGGGAGGACGAGTTGCCCATTGGCTGCCTCCACTGGTACCAGAATAGCATCGAAATTAGAATAGAAAACGGGCTACCAGGGAGGCTACCGAGCTATTGGCGACTGATGTCTTCATCTGAGTACGAATGAAAAATCGTCCTGATTCCTTCATTTTCAATCGATCAATTCTTTACGAACTGAATCGGTATTATAGATTAATTCCTATAGACATTAATCGAAATATACAAATAAATGTAAAAAAAAAACGTTAAAATGTAATGGCAAAATAAATAAATCAAGATAATAGATTAAGATATTATATTTCAAATAACAGAAAGAATTCCATTTTCGAGAAGCGAATTTTGGTCCTTAATAATACTCATATATATTAGGTGTTGGAATTAATTCGTAGCGTTTTTAAATGAAAGAATGTTATTTATTTCACATGAGCATTAAAAAATACATTAATGAAAGTACTTCCCATCACTTGTAAAGCGCTACGAATTAATTCCAACACCTAATATTTACAATTTTTTTCAGTTATAAGCATGTCGATTTGATTTGTCGAAACGCAATCAAATTAAAGCTGGAAATAACATTAGATATATTGACCATCAAATTAATAATGATGCTAATAAACATCTTAAAACACTACAAAAGATTTTTTGCCAAAAATATCGCCTTACTCAAGATTTGAACTTCCAATATTATTTAAATATTTCATTTCGGTAAAATTGAGAATGAAAATTTCATTACATCCAGGCAGACGATTTGTTACTTCTATATTAAGTATCGCTTTAAATAAAATTATTAAATCTTGAATCTTTTAAAAAAGAAACTGAGAGAGTTTCTTCTAAAGAAGAAACGTGTTGAAAGTTAACAGTGGTAATTTTCATTAATTCACAGCTTTTAGATAACAGTAAAAGATTGAAAAAGTATACTTTATTCAATGGCAATTTCATATTTGTGTAACTTTATTGTGGAATATGAAACGGGATTCAAGTCATTGTCGATAAAGAATATCAAGTATATCAATGAATTCTCACTTTAACGTTTACATTGTGAAAGTCAGAAGGCAAATAATTGTTGCACTATTAAACCTGCCAGTTACTTTTCTGAGACGATTTTCTAATAAGACTAAGCAACACATTTTTCTAATTTGGAACGCGAATGTTCACTGAGAGCAATTATAGTATAATCACTAAATGAAGTGCTAATTTGTGCTGATAATGTGTGATACTGAAAGGAAATTAGTATCTCAGGAAGGCAGGCATATATTGCAGCTAAAAATATTTTGCGATTCATGCCATTTTATCCAATTATCATTATTTTTATAATTATTATATCATATCATATTATATCGGATTTTTCAAAGATCTTAGCTTCTCTCAATTCTTATTTTATTTGTTTTCATTAACGCAATCTCTTCCCATTAATATAGCCTTTCGGTGAATCGCAAATTTTGCATAAGTCATTTTAAATACCGACTTTAAAATATTTATAAAAAAAATTTTAAATTTTTTATTATTCTTTAATTAAAGATTTAGGAAACTAAAAATAAATAATATATTTAATAAATAAATAAATTTATAATAAATTTATTTATAAAACAACTATATAATTTTCACATCGCAATGTAACTTGACATAAAAAAATCATACTTGAAATATTTACATTAAAAAATTAAAACCTGTGTCAATATTTTATAATACATAGATATACATTTCCATACATTTCTATTAGAGCACAGATAAAAAAAATACTACTTATTGAAATAACTTCAATACAAATGGTAAATTGGCGTCAATTTTTTTGTATTACTTTTAAATATGATCTAGAATAATCCGAATTTTTTCACAATTTTTTTGTTATGTTGAAATATCTATTATAAATATCTTTAATAATACACAGAAAAATTGGAAAAAAAAAAGAGCGAAAAGAAGCAATTTATCTACAAATCATTCAGCCTGCGAGACGAATTATTTTTGAAACGTAATGCCGAGCGTCGTCCCAACACATGTACATAACATACGACATATCGCATTCTCGTTCCAGATTCCGTCTTGGTTTACATTTCAAGCGAACCGTGCGTTAAAACATCTAGATATCGTGCAAGTGTATTAATATCTAGATGGTACATTTCATTGATCGTGCAAGCGGACTAGTACTCGCGGTGTACATCGAATGCATATCCTTCATACTCAGATATTATCTCTCAAATTCCAATTTTTATACAATATAGATATACTGAGATATTAATAAGTAGATCCGTGTTCATTGCATTTGCATCTTGTAAAAAAACATACTCAATTCTCAGCATTGTACGTTCGTCATGTATTATGCGGATCATACATTACGAAAAATCGTCCTTGGTGTCGAAAATAATTTTTCCTTGAACCGTGTTTTGTTGCCCAAACATGCCTTACAATGTTGTATAATATTGCTCGCACTTGTAATTTTCAAAAAATTCACCGTTTTATATTCACGTGATTTATGCGTTATAAAAAATTTTTAAGAAAAGAATTGATGAGAAAATACGTTTTATGACTAGCAAATTATAATTGTCGATTGTAATTGTATATTTTTATGTGAATCGAATTTCAAATTGAAAATTAATATACAGAACCTTGAAATGGAGTAAAAAATTATTTATGTGTTTTCTATTCTAAATTTAGATTGTTGCTTATTCCTAATTATTAATATTAATCAACTACAGGTACTTCACAATTAATTTCGAAACCATCTTTTATATTAATCAGAAATGTTTTAATTTACCTAGAAAGTTTGGATCTTATCTAGTAGAGATAAAATACTCTTTGAAGTACATTTCTTTAAAAGTTTTATTAGAGTATATCCTGACTTCTTTATACATTTTTTTCTTATCACATAAAAGAATATTTCTTCATTCAAATGTAATATATTCGGAAATTTAAACAGAAAGTATCATAAAGAACCAGGCAAAAAGACATTACATAATCGTATGAAAGTGACATGGCGATGAGCAATAGAATTCTTTTCTTCGGGAAAAACTTCGTGCCTCAAGATAAAGTTTCTTCGCGAACAATTTTCTACTTCATGATAAATCATCGAAACTTTTTGTTTATCGATTTTTCATCAAGGACAACTTTCTATTAAAAATAAATCCAGAATGTTTACAGAACTCTTACAAAAAAATTCCCTAGTCCCTGAAAGTTTCCAAATTTTTTAGGTACTTTTATTCAAAGTTCCAAGTAAAATTAAAAAAATTTTATTATTGCAACTTTGAAATAGATTAATATGTAAGTAACGCAAACAAACTACTGTGTATTATAAATTAAAAGACAGGAATTCCCGATTATATCTATCATTTTTTACAATTGGAGCCATGAAATTTATAGGAAAGATTCACTACAATATAGTATCAATGATCTATTCTCTTTTGATGAATATTGCCTTCTACAAACTTAATTTTTTTTATAAAAATTCGCAAGGACACGCAAGAACGTAAATATACATAAATATGTATGCCATACTTATTGCTAACTGATTATTAACACTTTGCATTATCAAGAAAAAATAATTAAAAAAGAACATTTCCAAAAGAAGAAACAAAATAAGTAAAATTCCAAAAAATTCTTTTAGTACTGATAAAATTTCATAAAAATGATATCTTTGATTTTCAGAGATAAAGAAGAGATCCCTTGAAAATTGTAAATTTTCCAGGTTTTTTCCAAACAATAAACACCCTGAAAGACAATACAGAGATCGCCGCACCCGTGTTTTTGAGGATCAATTTTAGATATTTTCGGTCAACGCAAGATCTCATTAAAGCCAAAAATGGAGTTTTCACGGACGGACGACAGACCGTCGCGCCCGTTTCGAAGACGTTGCTTCCTTTTGTGACGTCGTCGCCAAACAAGAATCGAATTTGGGATTTTTCTTGCTGTCTGTGGGCACGCACGAGTAATGCATACCGGTCGCGCACTATTTCCATCAGGACGAGAAGCCGCGAAATCCTCTAAGGTCGTCCCGGCGGCACTGCACTAGCGCGGCGTGCACTGCGTCACGATGCTCGTCCGCTTCGATTTTCCGCAGTCGTCTGCGACTGTGCAACGCGAACGATTTTGTGCCAGCAGACGTTTCCCCGTCGCCTACAAGGTACTCGCGAAGAAAGGTTCGCGAGCTCGCCTTTCCTGTTCCTCGGCTATTTTAAAAGCGGTTTCGATCTCTTCAACCTTTTAACTACTTTCCTTACTCGAATATGCTCGGGTATCATGTTGGAATATTATATCTTGGCTACAATATGCAAGTATGTAGAAGATATAAGATGTCTAAGAAATAAAGAAAAATATAAGAAATATTTCTATAAAATGTATATAGATACATTTTCTTTACTGTTATAAATTTTAATAAATAAAATTAAAGAAACTTAACATTTTACTACATTGAGAAAAATTTCTAATTAAAAATGAATGAATCAAGAGATGTGGATATTTTCGAAACGCCCTGTATATCTACTTTATTTACGAATTTTCATAATTTCAGTCAGAACAGAGGAATCAGGCATAGAAGAAAATGAGCGTTGATTTATGATTTGACGAAAGCCGCACGTCTGTCGTTATACGACGAGAAGCTTCAAGGATGACGAAACGGTAAACGCACTTTGCTCGCCGTCCTCGTGGCAGGTTGACGCCTAAGACGATGCTTCATGAATAGTCGAAGCATAATGATTTGGAACGTTGGACTGTTATAGAACAGCTTAGACACATTGTCAAAAACATAGAGCCAATGCTCTCCCTCCGCATATTTAATTTAATCTTTACCGATTTACTTTCCAACTGGATCTGTTACTGTCAAGAAACTGTACAATCTTGAACAGAAATAACGAGTGACCTGATGATTTAACTAGTTAACACATCTCAAGGTGCGAAGCGAGTTCTTCGAACTGATTGGGACTTTGTCTTGGACTTTGCGATTTACAATTAAAAATTATCATTACATCATTTATTATTTTTTTTGCTAACATAAAACACATGTACAATTAATTATTGTCTAAGTATGCTATTCGATTGGTTTTTTGTCTTAGTATAGTCATCTTAACATGTCATATAAATAATCACTAAATGTTAACATCTTAAGACATTGCTGAGAAAAAATGTACTAAATTTTAATGAATATTTGTTTAAATAGGACTAACTTAACATTTACTTACGATAAATAAATATTTAATAAATAAAAAAATGATAGTTAAATCAAATTAATAATTCTTGTTATAAGACTAAATAAATATATGTTTATATTAATAAGTGTTTATTAATTTATTAATATGTTTATATTAATAAATATTCAACTAGTATTCGGAATAATTCCGATCGGAATTCATTCCGGCTTGTTTCATAATAGATGTCTAGAATAATTCAAAAAAATGTTTGAATAATTAATGATTTTCCACGAAATGAGATTCTAACTTCACACATCATTTTTTGTGAAAAAACGAATTGTCGCGATCGCAGAAAATCTAGTCATTAATAAATTGTGAATTTATTATTACTGAACATATAATATATATTTGCATAAAATGAAATTAGTATTTATGGAACTAAATAAAATAAAAAAGCATTATAAAATAAATACATAATAATACATAAACAACAGTGTCAATAACAGTGTCAATAATAGTGTACAGTTTTGAGATATAAAATAGACCTAGGATGTTTTTTTCGTAAGGCTTTGTAACTTGATCTTTAATCCCTGTACATGTGGTAAATCACAAAAAATATATTGTGACAACCTTTGGTAATATCTATTAAACACATTGAAAGTTTCAAATTCTTGGTATGGTTTTTTTGTTCGCTTTTTTAGAAGATATATAAATGATTAGTTAGAGAAATGTGATATGTCTCTGGCGCAAAAGGCCATTAACCCTCTATACCTCTTAAGGGAATTAACATGAGAAAAGTCTTACGTCTATTATAAACATCAATTTATTTTCCTTCTCGTTAATTAAAATTTTAATTAAAAATATTAAATGTCTAAAGTGTTAAATATTACTAAATAAATGCTAATATTTATAATTAGAATTAAAAAAAAGGTAAAAGCACCTTACAAAAAACGTCTAAAAAGAAACGATATGCTAAGATTTTTTCAAACTATCGTATTTTTCAACTTGGAATAAACAATTTATGTGTACCTTCAAGAATTACATACTATATTAAAAAGATCTAATTTATCATCTAGTTTATATTATACAGATATTACAATTTATTTCAAGGAGTTCAAATCCGATACTGTCTATGTTCAATATTAATATGTATTTAAAAAAATCCAATATCGGAACGTAAGCGATTAATTGAATTTTGAAATTAATAACACTCATAAAATAAAAAACTCATAAAATATAAACTCATATAATAAAATCTTCAAATGATATAAGCATAAGAAATTATTTGACAAATCTAATTTTTTTATGATAATCATAAAGCTAAGAATGGTTATATTCTAATATAACTTTTTTGAACGTCTGTGCTTGACAAAAATATTAACACTGAGAAATCAGTTTTGTTAGAAACTACAGTACACTTGTCCTTCAAACAATATTATGTAAGATACATTACGTGAATAACTTAGAATGTTGCATTATCAATCAAACGTGTTGTATTTTAAAGTTAAAACAACATTTAAAATTTATATTTAGATTAATTGAATATCTCAGAATCCAAGTTCATTAATAATTATATGTATAAAGAAAAAAATAAATAGTATCGATTTATCTATTTTTATCTATTTCCATTTTGATATAAATGTTTAAAAAACGCGAATAAGTTTTCAAAGATAGATTTGATCGAAAACCTTTTCAAACTGATGTTCAATCTGTTTTGCAAAGACTGGTCAAGAAATACTTTCCTTTAAGTTGTGTACACTGTGATATGCACAGATAGCACGTATATCTCTGATAAATGAGTACCAGATTAAGTGTCAAGTTCATAAACTGGTATGATATGGTACACGCTAACTATACGAATATGTTGCATTACTTCAACCATACTATGCTATCGATCAATATGCGTGACAATGAAAGTATTATGTAACTCTTGGGACGCAAACACCTTATTGGAATTTATACGCACGCCAATTTATTGTTAGCTCATGCTCGAAAACAGTACGGCATAATATATATAGTTCAAAAAATACCGCGAGAATACGCCAGAGTGTAATGTATCAGAAGGTCTGTGTCAAATATGCTCAATGAATCGTACGAAGCGAACGCTCTGTTTGCCAATTGTTTCGTATTGCGCAAAAGTGCACTGCCAATTAATCTCGTATAGATTTTCCGTTAATGGTTGAGGATATCGATCCAATTTAAAAGTACCGTGTTACCGGAAACATCTTGACTGATCAATTGTTGTTGTGAATAAAAAAAATCAATATAGAAACAGCCAAATAGAAACAGCCAAATAGAAACATGACTTATCGAAAATTTCAACCGTTTAATTAGATCAATTAGTATGTATAGATAAAAGTCATCAAATTAATAAAAATTAAACAAGTTTTTTTATTATGTTAGCAAATACAATTCGAAATTACTACACTGAAAGAAAAAAGTGCATCTATCTGTATAAATACGCAATAAAATAATTACATGATAAAATAATTATATGATAAAATAATTACGATTAATTAGGAGCTCCATTTTTACAGTCATTACTGTTATCCAATAATAATAGTTACATTTACAGTTCTATAAAAAAATACATGTTTGAAATTGAAAATTTTATATATATATATATATTGCAACCATTTTTTTCTCAGTGTACACGGTTAAGACATAATTCCTTCAAAAATTTCATGTAAAAGAAGAGAGATTCATTTTTATTTCAAATGAATTGCGAACAGGAAACCTTTCTGATCACCTGATTCATCTTTATATCACCTGATGCATCTCTCAACTTTCCTTCTGTAATTTTCACAACATTGTGTCAGAAAGAGTTGTATTGTATTAGCAATACTCGAATTGGCAAATGGTCCAAAAAGTTCTTTGACCTTTCAAGGTACTACAAGGCGAAAATCTACGGAAAAAAGAGCGGCTAAAATAAAACGCTTGCCAGTATGAGGAATGTTAATTGCCGATATAACTGCGTAGTTTGACGCTTAAAAGACCGTAAAATAACTATTCTGGAGCAAAACAGGCGATGGTGTGACGAACGGAGACCGTAAATGTGGCGGACAGTATCGATAGATAAAAATAGCACGTAAAATCCAAATGTGTTCTGCGGAACACCGCGCGCGCAAATAACGTGACACGCACTATTCTCTTAGTGTGAATCTATTATTAACAATCCTAGACGCGCTGTGCCTTCGGCAGTTTCGCGAATCCGGCAATGAACAGTCTTGGCTGTTGCGGGGGTCGAGACAGAGCGTCGCAAAGCGGCTTACTGCAAATTTTATGACAGATTCTAAGACTGTACTGGGAAAGATCTATTATTAACATTTCCAGGCGCTGCACGTCTTTCGCACCTATTTAACGAGCAACGAATATTTTTGCCAATATAAAGTTGCAAACACGCGATAAATTTTGTAAAAGATTTTATAACTAACTTAGAGAACATTTTTTTTTAATAAAAAATTAGAAGACGAATAATGTTTTCAGTGATAAGAATTATAATATATATTCAGGCGTTATTATTAATTTATTAATTACATGTGAATAATCTCTGATTGATATCCATTTCTTTCAATATAGCTTAACTTTAAATGAAGATTAATTTCTTGGACATGTAGAATGAATAGGCATGAGAAATTGATATACTGTGTGCTGTCTCGACAGAATCACGTGTGATACCTCAGACTCGAAAGACTCGGTCGGTTGTGTAAGATCGTGTTGAAAATGCTGTTGCCGACTCAAAATGCGGACGTCGCCGCTCGTGACAACGGCTCCGGAAAACTCGTCCGCGAGCATGTGACGAGAACCTCGTGGTCACTCACGTGCTATTCATAACCCGAACTCGCGGTTCTCCATTCCACGCACTTCTAGGTACCTCGATGCGTGCGTATTCGCGACGTGTACACAATCACATGCAGACGCACACGCGCGCGACATGAGTTGCACCCAAAGCTGCATTTTATTATAGTAACCGCGGCGAGGTCGTTACGTAATTTGTCGTAACATAATTCGTCAGGAAGGTCTACGATCTTAAACACGTGCAGCGTATGGAAACATCACTCTTGTGCTACAATACGATATGATGTGTACGCATAAAAGGGGGAGAGAGAGGGGGGGGGGGGGAAAGACTCTTTTTTTTTCCCTTCGTGCTATATGTAATATTTATTATTGTTGCAGATTCTATGCACCTGCACGAAATAATACACCGACGTAAGCGGAAGACAGAAAACTTTATGTAATAACGTATTTCTAATCTTATCTTTTTATTTTATGTAATTTTGGTCACTTCTTGTATAGGGTAAGCAAATAACATTTGCAGATTAAATTTAATTACGTAAGTGCAAAATATTCTCTTATGTTCCTTGCATTAATCATTCAATTTAACATCTCTAATTGTATTATAGTTTAATTGGAGCGAAATGATCGAAAGGACGATTGGTTTTAGAGTGTGATAAAGCGGATGAAACGTGATCAGCAGATCGACCGATGCATTCCTCTCATTAGCGAAAGGTAATTGTTTCTAACATTTCTACGACCTTTATATTAATTATTTCCACTAGGTTTCGCTTCAGTTCTTACATTGATTTCCATTAATCTTGTATCAATGTCACATCGAAGCAATTATTATATCAATGTCACACCAAAAGCATATTTATTTTTAATTACATAGTTATTACACTAATAAACAAATAAAAAGTAAACTTTTCAATTAAATATTTAACAGTATTTTTATATACTATTCTAAATGAATACTTTGATGATCATGAATCATCTTTTCCTTTTATAGCGAAAAGAATTTCTAATATAATCAAATTTCATTTTACAACCCTTAAAAAAACCACTCTTTTTTAGTTGTGATGATTTTAAGAACTTTTTAAAGCCTTTTTAAAAACTTTTTTTTCTTTTTAAATTGTAATAGTTTTAACAATTTTGGTGAAGTTAAGTCAGTTCATTTTAATAATTGATAAGGTAATGTTCGCTTAATTCGTTTATATGGCAATAATTTAAACGCGTTTTTTTAGTTGTGTCTTGCTTTTGAAGTAAGAAAGAAAAATTTAAAAGATTAAGTTTTTAATTAACAAAAAGTAATTCGATTAACAAAGAAAAATACGACTCTTTTTTTCTAACAATACAATGCCGTCGATATCTCTACACATAATATCTCGTTAATCTTTCTCGATCATTATTCTTCCGGTTTTTCCGATTTATCTAAGTCTAAATTATAAGACAAATAAATCGGTTTATCTTCGTATTTCCTTAATTCCATTGCATTTCATAATTCATGTTATAACATCGCCTTCTAAAATAGACTATTTTTCGTAGGTTCGACGTTCGGTGGAAAATGCTGTAAGAACTTACGTAATGATCGTGTGACGAAACTTCTGTTCACAGACATAAGTGCGTGCTTGCATGCGTGCATGCATGCATGCATGCATGCATGCATATTCTATTTCGTTTTTCTACTTTGTTAATGTTATACTTAGCTTCTCGCTGCGTCTGCAACGTGAACTTCGGTTACGTCCGAAAGTTCACATCGTATACTAGAACTATCGATCCTGATGAACACAATTTCGTCTAGACATCAATTCTAATTACTTAAGCACAAGGTCAAAAAATTTGCTCAATAATAATGGAAAAGATACGGTAATTATATTCGTTTTGAAATATTTTCAGATAACCAAGCGTTTCATTAAAATTTTTAGAGATTTTTTGGCCAATTATTGAAATTGATTAAATTCATTTATATCTTCTCAATAAAAGTTTTACAAAAGAAAAAAAAACAAATAAATTATATATTTATGATTAGATATATTTATATTATGATTAGTTTGATATTTATATGATTAATTTATATTATGATAGATATATTTATGATTGATTTTATTTCTGAACATAATTCTATTAATAACAATAAAAATGGCAGCACAAATTATATAATTATACAATTATATAATTATACAATTATATAAAAATTCTTTGATTTTTATAAAATGCATCGCGTATATTGTTATGTACAGCATTCTTGTGATTTATATATTTAATATAAAGTAACAAACCAGCTGTTATTAACCGTTAGAAAATTAGCCTCCCAACATTAAAAAAAATTAAGTTTAGCTTATTCGATTGCATGCTCATTTGCACATGTATGCACTTTTCAAATTTTTGTTTGTACATTTCCAGTAAAGAAGTTATTCAGAATCTATTTCTCTAGCTAAATTTTTAAGATATAATATTTTAGCAAAGTCGTTCTTTCCGTGTAATTATCTATTTCATAATTTAAACATTCTCATTATTGCATATCTAAAAGTTTTGATCAACATTTATCATTTTATCAACATTTATCATCAATCAATATTATATGAATGCACAATTGTCAAGGAGATTATCCGCGAACGGGAAAGAGAGTTTGCATTTGAATATATAGAAATACTATTTGCATTGCAAACGATACTAGAAGATAATGCCACTTTCTCGACGAACTCTGACGCTCGGAGAAATGTGGCGTGCATGTATCGCAGTAGTAAGAGTCGATCACTTATGGTACTATATAGCAGCTTGCACTACCGCGATGTCCGCCGATGTATATAAGAAATTTAAGATGCGATCGATTCTCACACGACAGAGAGAGAGAGAGAGAGAGAGAGAGAGAGAGAGAGAGAGAGAAGAGAGAGGAAAAAGAGACTCTCAAGATTATTTATTACGCATGGATTTTACCTGAATAAAAAATAGTGTTTCTCAAAGTTTTCAAAAAACCGATATTCTCACAAAGTAGTCAGAACTGAGAATATTTTTGATCTTTTATACATAATTCATAATTTTATAAATTCAGTACATATTCATCATAGGCTTTTTTTGTATTAATCAATAATCAACAAGAGCACGTGTCAAAAAGTGTCTGTCAAATGTCAAATAAAAAGTGCGGATATACTTGATGCGTAAAAAAAGAGGTTAACGATAATACTGGAGTACTTCATTTTTTTTTCGATATTATTCATATATTGACATTTATATTGCGAATTTATTACAGTACTTTCGTTTCTATAAACGATATAGATACCTACTGTAAAATGTCAACGCTTTTGCAAGAAAAAGGCTGTTAACCCTGCTATCCGTTCAAATATATTATACGATCATATCGTTTGGCTTTTCAATATGATTAAAGAGCTTTAAAAAAACATTTTTCGCAGATCTTTAACAGAGGAAGTCATTAAATGCTATAGAGAAAAGTTTTAAAATAAAATATTAATAAGAAAATATATGTAATTGGAAATACGACTTTATTTATCGGTACCCATAAGAGGATTCCATCAGGTGTGCTTGAATAAAATATATGTCAAGCTAAGCTTGTGAAAGCAATTTATTACAAACTCTTACTCAAAGTCAGAAATTCCATCTGGAAAATAAAAACCACGACGATTCTCGAGAGACGAGAGATAGAAATGATTGCTTTGTCCGAGATTTTGTTTTGTATTTCATTCAGCCGACATGCTCGGCGGGGCATTCCATTTCCTATATGCAGCTCGACGACGATCGAGAGACGCGACGCCTAACTATTGATTTGCTCCGGTATCGAGTTGAACGGGAGTTTCCCTCTCTCGACCCTAGGAACTCGCAATGCGGCTTGTGAAGACATTTATCTTATCTTTACAACGTGAACTTTTACGAAAAAAAAAAAATGCGATGCTATTTCAAGTCGTTATTGTTTTTAACAAGTAACGTCAACAATGAGATAAATTTAGAATTTACTGGATATTATTCAGAAATACACGAAGTTATATAAAAACTCGAGGCGAAATACTGAAAAAAATTTCTAGTAAAAATGAACCAGAAGATCCTGATTATTTCTCTCTCTCTCTCTCTCTCTCTCTCTCTCTCTCTCTCTCTCTCTCTCTCTCTCTCTCAATTAAAAATAGACTTAAACAGAAAATTCGGATTTGTCCATTTCAACCAGAATTCCATTAATGATACTATTCTTTTTTCCAATATAGGCAAAAATAAAAACGCAACAAATTTGATTGTGACATAAACGACAGATCTAAAAATGTATACACGAGAAATGTATTAAAAGCATTAGCCAATAGTAGTCTAATTGAAAATAATCTGTTTAATTCAATGACAATATTAATGAAACAAATAATATTTTATTAAAACAGCATGGCGTATTTGTTGCATTAATTCCATTATTGATTTAACAAGATTATTTTCAATTAAACTGCTGTCGATTATACTGTTAATATCATTTATTCCGTGTGGAAAACTCTATTACAAAATAGAATTCTGTTACAGAAATAGAAAAAAATTCTATAAAATTCTGTTATATAATATATATTATGTTCATGTAACACATGAATAGTTGATAGCTGAAATTTTTATTTGACAGCTCGCAATTAATGATGCTCGATGTATTTATGGTTGCAAGATGAGATGATGACATCAACTGTCTCGGAAGTGACAAGTTTCGGAAATGATAGATTGCCCAAAATTATACGCTATGTCGCTTTAAACTTTGTGTTATTCGCAGACACGACCATAGAAATACCTCGAGGACAGTCGTCAGTTTAATTGATTTAATTAGACGTGCCATGCAATTATTGAGAAGCAAATCTCCATTATCATGTATATGTATTATTGACGACGTTATTAATTTTTATACCGACAGTCTTCCAAACTGCTTAAATATACCATATTTGATAAAGAAAAATAATTTCCACGATTCGTAAATGAAGAATTTTTCACGACGTGAATATGTATAGAATGAAATAGAAATAAACAATAAAATAAAAATAATGCTTGAAGAAACACTAGACTTCATTTTAATTGGAAACTGCATGCAATGAAACGATTTCATTGAGAATCGTGTTCTACAATTGACCGTAAATTTGCATTATCGTAGTTACTATGCTTTAACTCATTAAGCTCAACTGTCTAAATATTCAAGCGATAAACTGGCAATCTTCCAAATCTTGTTTAGTGATAATATATATGTTTTGCTTAAATTCTTCATTTGACTTCTTGGAAGTGCCTTCTGTTTAGTTATAGTAGTTCTTTGAACTTTATTTAAAGAAATTATTACTATAAATAAATCAATTAAGCTGCATACATTTTATCGAATTATTAACATACGTTAATTTTTGACATATTGTCTATAATGGCTATTACATATTCCTTTTTAAATGTAACAATATAAAATTAAAATGTAACAAAATATATTTATACTGTTTAGAATATTTCAGAAATAATTTCCATAGATGGCCTTAAGATACAATTCGATATCAAATATATTTTAATCTAATCACAGTAGCTGCTCGTATAGGATTATTGTACTGATAAAACTTTATATTTAATTTATGACACGATATGGAAAACCAGGAGCTACTATATAGATATCAAAAAATATTAAATTCTATATTTTCATTTTTTAATCAAACGTAGAAGTCATCCCTAAATATTGTCTTAGTTTTCATTTGCATTTCTATTTTTTAGAATATTATCGTTTGTGTATGTGTGTGTGTGTGTGTGTGTGTGTGTGTGTGTATATATATATATATACTCTCCATCTTTTCAAAGATAAATTATTGAGAGAAAAAAAAGACAAATATAAAAACGAAGTTCAAAGTTCATAAGTATTGTTTAATGTTGCAATATAGTTTTAAATATCTATATGCAAGAATTATGCAATACAATTCTTAATACATTTCAATACCATTGATAATAATTAAATTTTATCTCTTGCGGAATTATGATGCTAAGAATACTGAAGTTGCTAATATAACTTTATTTCTATTACAGTATATTGTTAGACATCAAAGAAGCAATTCTTTAAGTTAAATAACATTTTATTATTTTCAATCTGTATGTGTCAAAATGTATGTAAATAATCCATTTCTGTGATCAGTTTCAAAGTAAACAACGTTCATATTAATGTAAAATGCATTTTAAAGAATATTAAAATAATTAATAAAGAATATTAAATAAAATACATTTTCTTGAGTTAAATTGTAATCAATATAATCTATAGATCATCTATTATACATCTCAATATGCTCCAATTTGACTCCATTAATTAAATTAAAGCATATTAAATAGAAGCAGATAACCTATAGAAATGATTAAAAATAACTCATATTGGATATAATTGACATTATAAATTTAATAGATAAATTTAATAGTGTAATTGCAGGAAAACCATAAAGATTTACAAAAGATTAAAACGATCGATGGCGCCTGCGACTTATACAACACTGTTTTTGACTGTTCACTATAATTATTACAATACATAACGCGTATATATAGTTGTTTCCCCCTACTACGACGTTATGAAACACGGCACTATTACATTTGGCAGTTGCCCCTATATCAAGACGTACAACTCATTGCTGCTCTGCGACCTAGTGTGCTCGAATGTGTTTGTATTTGCTAACGTTGACCATGAACCGCGCGAGAAAATTTTCTTTTGTAATAATTATCACAGATCATTAATTGCAAGTGTAGCACTTGTCGGTCCAATAATTTTGTAGACGATAAAAGTTCGAATTACTGTCTCATATTATTTCTCTCAATCGGATAAAAACGAAAAAATTTAAATGCAATTATAAATTTAAAATATTTGAAGAGAGAAATAAATAAAAATGAATAAAATTCACGAAATAAAATAAAATAAATTTTTATCTGTCGCTACGTG